GCCTCTCTCTCTCTTTCTAGCTCTACCTGTCTCTAACTCTTTCAAATAAACCAATCTTTAAAATCAGTTTCACGTTCTGCTGCCAAGTTGTCGAAAGCTTCCGGTGTGACGTTGTGAGTGCTCTGGGCGCTTCTATGGGAATGTGTGAGAAACAGCCCAGACTCTGGTTTCAGAATCTTGCCAGGTAACTCTGAGTGGAGGAGCAGGTAGAAACAATGGCACATCATCCCCAAGCTTCTCTGCTTCCTTCCCCTTAAAAACCTCTGGCAAACCGTTCTCTCTGGTCCTCACAGGTTATGCAGGATGGTTTAAAAGCAGAGGGACTACAGCTGGCATGGTGGGGCTGTGGATAAAGATGCTGACATCCCAAATGGATGCTGGTTTGTGTCCTTGCTAATGCCCTGGGAAGAGCCATCGATGAAGCTCCTGGCTCCTCCCTTTGGCCTGGGCCAGCCCTGGGGAGTGAACCAGAACAGAAGACCTGTCTTTCCCTTTCTTTCAAATAAATGAACATATAAGCTTTTTAAAAATAAGAAAAGCAGATGGGCTACCCTATTTGGACAATCGTCCTTTTTTCCTTCAGGGCGACCCCTGCTGAACAGAGCCCTGCACTGTCCAACTGATGGCTTTTTTCAGTCTTAGTGGATCAGTTTCACATTACCTCCAGTGATTTGTATTTATTTCCTAGTTAAACTCAACATTTTCCAAACCATAGGTTTGGGTTGTCTGCCACTTAGAAACAGTGGGCAAATTTTATCTTCCAAACTTAAGTTTTAAAAAATTTAGAAATATCCCAGTAAGATAAGCAATGGTATAAATGGGAGAGCTCAAGAAACTGACATGAGTCATAAGGTGCCACCAACCATACCAACTGACTACCTGAACAGTATTCAATTCTTGTACTGACAGCCTATCAACAGTCCAGGACCTAGCAGCACAACAGGTATCTAAGTACAGCAGCAAGCAGACAGATTCCTAATAGCAGCTGTCTTTCATATTCCTAGTACCTCACTCGCAGATCAAACATACAGTACGTGATCAGGAAATAAACTATAAAGAGGCTGAGAGACATAGATAGGCAGATGGACTGATGGAGAGAGGGAGGGAGGGAGGAAGGGATGGAGAGAGAGAATATACCTTCATCTGGTGGCGTACTCCCCAAATAACCAAGATGGCCTGGACTTGGGTCAAGCCAAAGCCAGGAGCTGGGAACTCAACTGCACTCTGCCACACAAGAAGCAGGGAACCGATGAGAGTCATCACTGGTGACTCCCAGAGTTCGCATTAGCAAGGAGCTGGGTTCTACAAGGTGGGAAATGGGCAACTTAACTGGCATTTCAACTGCTGAATCCCCCACCCCAGCTCCCTCCTCTGCCCCAAACTGACTTTTCGAAGAGGATCTGCACACTGTTCTACTTCGAGCAGAATCAAGTTGTGGCCACCAGAGGTTACTTAGGTATTCCGGAGGGATCTTTCAATTACATAAGCATTTCTGTTTTGTATTCAAATGGTTATTTTCTAAGCTTCTTAAATATCACCTTAGTCATCTTAGATTCTATTATATGCTTAGTAGAATGCAGTTTATTACAAGAAGGCAGTATTTGTCAAAACACAACAGAGCAAAACTCTGCAATCCAATCCATCAGCAAGCCCTGCTCCCTACTGGTGCAGCAGCCTGATCCCACCTCCTTCCCCTTACAGCTCATCATGACCATTAATGGTGCTTACCTTCTCAACGGCCTTCCCAGCTTTCTGGTCCTCTCTTTCCCAACAGGATCCAAACACGAGTTATTAAAAAAAAGAATTATTTGAAATCCAAGAGTTACACAGAGAGAGGGAGATAGAGAGAAATCTCCCATCCCCTGGTTCATTTTCCAGGGGGTTGCAACAGCTGGGCAGCACCAGGCCAAAGCCAGAAACCAGGTGCTTCTTCCTGGTCCTCCATGTGGTGGTGGCAGGGGCCCAACCACTTGGGCCATTTTCTGTTGCCTTTCCCTAGGGCATCAGCAGGGAGTTGGACTGGAGATGGAGCAGCCCAAACATAAATTGGAACCCAAATGGGATGCCTGTTGCAGGCAGCAGCTTTACCTGCTATGGCACAGCGCCGACCACAAGAGTAATTTTTAAAAACTAACCAAAGACTGGAGCACTCATTTGCTTAAATGACTCCTGCCCCGTCCTCAGCACGCAGATTCTTAAACAGTCAAGACTCTGAAACAGGGACTAGCAAACTGTAGTTGATAGGCCAAATACAGGCTGTCATGTTTCTGCAAATATGGTTTGATGGGAACCCAAACACATGCTTTCTCTGGCTGCTTCTACTATGCAGTTAAGACAGAGAGATGGGCCGGCGCCGTGGCTCAATAGGCTAATCCTCCACCTTGCGGCGCCGGCACACCGGGTTCTAGTCCCGGTCAGGGCGCCGGATTCTGTCCCGGTTGCCCCTCTTCCAGGCCAGCTCTCTGCTATGGCCAGGGAGTGCAGTGGAGGATGGCCCAGGTGCTTGGGCCCTGCACCCCATGGGAGACCAGGAAAAGCACCTGGATCCTGGCTCCTGCCATCGGATCAGCGCGGTGCGCCGGCTGCAGCGGCGGCCATTGGAGGGTGAACCAACGGCAAAGGAAGACCTTTCTCTCTCTGTCTCTCTCACTGTCCACTCTGCCTGTCAAAAAAAAAAAAAAAAAAAAAAAAAAAAAAAAAAAGAGATGTATGGCCTAGCAAGCCTAAATATTTATAGTACAACCCTTTATACACAGTTTGCTATCTCCTGTTTCAATGGACCTTCTCCCCCATTTTCTGGCCTAATTCATGCATTCACTCCTGTCAACCAAGCTTTTTCTGCCAAGCATCTTTGTAATTCCTGATCTAACTGCCAGGAATCACTGTGCCACGACCAACTCCATGTCCCTGTGGCCCCAGCTTGTATCAGCTCCCCAGAGCCTGCACCTGACCAGTCCATCCAGGGCAGCTCCCTCAAGCTCTCTAGTCATGTGTCTGTTAGGAGACAGTTACGTGGTACGGCCACCTGAAATCTGCACTGGTTTAGTTCTCTCTCCAGAATGTAAAGGCCATGCCAGAACTTGCCCACTCCAACCACACCACTTTAATCCATGCAAATCCAGCACCAAAAACAAGGCCTGAGCGGTAAAGAAAAAGGCCAGTAAATAGTAGCTGAGTCATGAAGATTTTAAAGTCCAATTTCTTGGTTGCAGACTTCCTTTAACACTGGCTTGACCTCCATCCCAAGAGGCTGAATGAAGGTGGATCAGCATTCCTGCTCCCACAATGGCTGAGCAGGTCCCCAAGAGCATATTCTCTTGAATGTGGGTCCATCTTGCTCTCTTCAGATAGGGAGAACATCAGGCAACCAGGCAAGGGAAGTTCGTAGACGAGGACAAAGAAGTTCTCAACTTTATGATTATTATGGTTAAGAATTTTATTATCAAAATTATTACATCTCTTGTGAAAGTTCAAATGTTACAGCAAGGTGTAAACACTCCACTTGAGAAAGAAGTGATACTTCTTCCCTTCCAAGAGTTCCCCCCACCCCCCCCGCCCCCAACCCCCCCAGAGGTCTGGTCTTGACAGCACCCTGCCCACACAGAGTGGCTGGGGTCTCTGCACGTGCCAGGCAGGGTGAGGGCTGCCTGCCCGCTGGCCTCCCCCCTCCAGTCACAGCTGAGAGGAGAATGCAGACCCCAGCCCAGATGGAGAGACATTTACACACATTTTATATCATACAGGAGGGAACCGGCATCCCAGGCAACATGAGTTCCATTCCCAATGCTCTCCCAGACTGATGGGTTTGTGGGGGAAACAAAAAAAAGTACTCTGCTGAGGTCTCAGCATTAAGGAAAAAAGAAAAAAAAAAAAAAGAAAGAAAGAAAGAAAGAAGAAAAAAAACTCCCCTCATTTGAGCAAACACCTGATTTCAATTTTGAGAAGTGAAATTTTGTAACAGTCACACACAAAGAGAGAAGACTGTGCATATGATAGTTGTAGGACAGGATAGAAAAGAAGGGGATGCAAGAGGCTGGGGAAAAAAGAGAAGACAAATGAGGGGGAAGGTAGGGGGAGACTCACAGCATTATCTTGTCCGAAAGAAGAGAAGTAAGGTCCACGCAGCACCAGGGATTACACCTGTTGTATATGCACTACCCTACCATGGTTACAACTGAATACAAAATTAGATAAATAAAAACACGCCGGGTATTACAGTAAACAAGTGAAAGAAACAAGCTGGCAACCGTATGGAATTTAAAAAGATTGTGTACTCCACCTGGGCCGGCTCCAGGGCTCCTCCAGGGGTGTACAACAGGCACAATGCACTGATGGGGAGAAGCCAGTCTGCGCGCATCTCTCATCCACAACAGTGTCAGGGCTGTGGGTGGCTTGGTAACTCTCACCAGGCCCACAATCAGATAAGCATCCCCCCAGGAAACGTGGGGCAGGTCCACACACAATCACAGTCCTGCGGTGCCACGCCACAAACTATCTTCCCACTCTTACCCTGCAGTCACGAGTGCACGCTCCCCAGTCATGGAGGCGGTCCTGCTCAGGGGGCTGTCAACTCCTGATTAACTGGGAGTAGGAAAAATAACATTCAAACGATTTCCGGGCCCCTGGAGATCCTTTCTAACCTAGCTTACTGCCCAGAGCTCTTAAGTGCAATGCAGCAGGCCCCCACTGCCCAGCCCTCTACGTGCTGCATGTGTTACTGAGCTGTGAAGCTGCTTGTGGAAGGAAAGGACAACCGCTCAGTGTCTCCTCCCACAGAACCAAGCGCTGACTGGCAAGCTCGTCTTCAGAGAGCCAGGCGCCACCAACCCAGAGCTCCTGCAAAGCACTACTACCCCTGCCTACGTGTTGGTGGTTTCAAGACAAAAGTAGAAACAGTGTTCTTGGTGGACACACCTTAGCCAGGTACCTGTTTTTGGAATGGTTGTCACAGGGTGAACATTCACATACCTACCTTTTTTCTTAAGTGCATAAAACCCTAACACTACTCAGATGGCTTGGGGCTTTGAGATTGGCTCTTTTCACTTTTTTTTTTTCCTTTGAAAAGAAAATGTTTTCCTTTTATTTAAAAAGATATCCTCACTGCACAAGTGACTACAGGCTACAGGCAAGGATGGGAGACAGAGGCTCCAACACAACTCATTGCACTTAGAACCGTAACTAACCGAGACGCCATTTGCTTGTCAACAATGTACCCTCGACAGCAGGGAGAAACTTCTTTGTAGTCTCTGCTTCAGACAAGATTTCCATCTTTCTCCAAGGCCAGAGGCCAGCTGCAACCACAAGTCTTGTTTCTTGTTGACCAGACCCAATCCTCTGGCACTTTGTACCCCCTCCCTTCCCCAGCAATATGCTCGGCCTAGGTTCCAGAGGCAGCTGGAAGGAAGCAGCTATGGGCTCATTCAGTTCTGTTTGCCCAAATCCAGAAGCCCTAGGAAAGTCCTGTCTGAGTCTTGACTCCCGACCCTTGCAGTGGCTGGAGTCGGTACTGATGCACACCCCCACTCCCTCGGTGTGGGTAGTGCTGTGAATTGGAAACCGCAGATACCCTGGAGGCCTGGTAGGCAGCTGACTGCCCGGCACTGGGCAGACTGATAGTCCGCAAGTCTGACGGCAATGCTGACCTAGAGTTCTGAGGAAAGGAGGTGGAACTCAGAGTTCCTGTGCTGGACTGAGAGACAGAGTCTGAGGGTGGAGAGTCTGAGGGGCCCTGTGGGGCAGGGCTAGCAGCACTAGAAGGACAGCTCCTCCTCGGAAGACTGCTGCCAGTGCTGTTTCCAGAATGCTGCTGGCTGCTGTAACACCCTGGTGTCCCCGTAAATGGGGCCATTGAGTCTGTGGACACAGGGTGGGCGGGGCTGGAATAGGTCGTGGAAGAGAGGGAGGACTCTGAAGAGCTTTGCGAGGTGGGGTGTGCAGGTCTCAGTGCAGCAGTTCGGTAACTGTATCCTGGAGACTGGGTGGGGGGTCCTCTGAAGGGGGAGGAGCTGTGTTGAAGGAGGCTTTGGGACTCTGTCCGTGGACTGTCACACTGCAGGAGCTGCAGAGAGACGGAGAAGAGCAGTGAGGAGGGAAAGAAGCCCCTTCAAATGTCCACGCACATGTGCAGGACCCTGCTTCTTTCCCTTCACTTCTGAAATGATGTGTTCCCTCAGGACCCCACAGGATGTCTGTGGTCACCTCATTTATCTTCCTGGTGTGACTTAGTACCTGAGAATGGGCAGATGGGGACTGACTTCGAAGGCCGCTGACACAACACGGGAAGCCGGCGTGCCAGCTGCAAACACTGGATCCAGCAAACAAGCCCACTCCCAGGGACCAGCAGTTTCCCGTCGTACCTGGTAGCTGTATCTGGAAGGGCTGTAAACGGCTGCTCCTTTGGAGAGTGCTGAACTCAGTGTCTCTGGGCCTTCTCCATCGGCAGGGTCTGGAAATACAAAAACCAAGTTGGTTTCTGAGAGGAAGTGGAGGAAAGGAAAGCCAGTTTATTCAAGTCACCACACTGCTCTCTGAGACAGGCTGGGCAAAGGCAGCATGCCAGAAGGGCAAGAGGACTGCTTCATTATCTTAGTTATGTGCTACGTTTTAGATGCCTGATCTGATTCCAGTCTCCTTCTTTCTCTTCATCCTTCATCTGGGTGGATTTTCAGGACTTTGGAGAGCTCAGAGTTACAGAAAGGCATCCCTTGGGAAAAAAGAGCAGACAGAGAGCAAGCAATGCTAGATCTTACAAATGCTGTGGCCCAGGAGTAAGCCCAAGCTGGAACCTAAGAGGAGCCCCGATGCGTCAGAAACAGACTCACTGCTTCCTAGTGTGTGGTGGGAACTGCGGAGAACCTGCGGGCAGCGGCAGTCACGGGCTCACCTGACTCTTTCTCTGCACTGCTACTCTCCCACGTAGGAGAGGGCTCTCCCTTTTGGGCCACCCTCACACTGCTTCGGAGGACTTTGGGGATGCTCCCTCCTTCTCGAAGTCGTTCTACTGACGTGGGGACCATCCTGTAAAGGCAACAGGGTACGTGATTAAACTATAGGACTCCTGTCTGAAACAAACCAAGATTTTCTCTGAAAACATCCTCTTAAACCTTATTTTCTTCAGGATCTCTGTAAAACAAGGTATTTCCTCTGCCTCAAACTGTCAGGCACAGAAGAAAAAAATACTCCAAACAAACAAAACCTCAAGGAAGTGGACCAGAGATGATGTCAACTTCTTTGAAGTCCCATTTCAAAATGCTCAATGTTCTCCTCTGTGATACCATGCGTCTGACACAGAACAAACAGTAAAGGTTTCCAACTATAGAACACAATCATTAGAGCCACATCTTGTTTCTCCTAGACTCACTCCTTCAGGTCAAGATCCCTGAGGCTCCCTTGTTTCTTTCGATATTTCTTTTGACACGAGCACCTGCCAGCAGTATTTACTGAGTCCCGTCAGAACGCCTGAGTATTCTGCACATGCTAGGTGGTGCAACAGAAACACCGGCTGTTAATTCAAGTGGGGCTGGCTGGATCCTGACTCCCTTTCACACGGACTGAGAACACAGAAGCAGAAGTGTTAGTGCCCAACACAGCAATAGCTCACCAGCAGCTGTAATTCTATGCCGGCCAAACTGCTGCTCGACAGACCTGCTGGTAATTCCTTGCTTCTCCAAAGTGCAGGGGTTGTGGCTGACACAATTAAATAAGCTGAACAGGACAGATCGCACTGTCGGCTGGTCTCTCAGTGTTCCCACATATTTTAGATAAAACTCGGAATGATCCCAGTCGTGTCCCTCCCTCCTGAATTCAATTAGAAAGCACTGAACATGAACTTGCCATCTACTGCTGATATTCTCTTGAGGTCTGCAGTGAGATGATGAAGCGCCTCTGGAATCAGATGGGCTGACGGCCTCCAAATGGGACATAGAGGAATGAGATGGGGAGAATTTTCTGTGAGGGGAAGATGGGGTTCGGGCTGAGGATCCCTGCACACCATGGGTACCAGTGTCAGACACAGAGCTGCTGCTGCCTGGCCCAGCTCCTGCAGACTTGCTCTTGCTCTGTGCAGAGTCACCTCCCCCAGAATTCTCCTTGGCTTCTTGTTTCCGTTTGCGGTACTCCAGCAGGGACACCTGGAGAGAGAAAGACAGAGAGTCAGAGAGAGAGAAAAAGAGGAAGAGGGAGACATGCAAACACGCTGAGTTGTCAGTGAACCACTAGCAATGTGGAAAGGGAAGATGGTACCCTGTGAGCAATTAGACAAACCAAGAAGAGAAAGCAGGCACCACCTGTGGCCATTTTTCTCAGGTGTGACAGAGATCACAGCAAAGCTACACGTTTTGAGCAGGTCAGACACTGATATGGGGAAGAGAGTAAACTAGGAGAGGCGGCATTTGGCACAGCACTTGGACATCTGCAGCCTGTATCAGTGGGAATAGGCCTGAGCTCTGGTTGTGCTTCTGAGCCTAGGTTCCTGCTGGCATATACCCGGAGAGGCTGCAGGTGATGGCTTGAGCATATGGATCCCCAAAGCCCATGTGGGAGATCCTGGAGTTCTTGGCTTTGGCTTGGCCTAGCCAAGTCTGTTGTAGGCATTTGGGGAGTTAACCAGCAGAGAAAGATCAATCTCTCTTTTTTAAAAGATTTATTCATTTATTTTTTTATTTGAAAGAGTTAGAGAGAGAAGTACAGAGACAAAGGTCTTCTCTCTGCTGGATCACTCCACAAATGGCAGCAGTGGCCGGAGCTGGGCTGATCCCAAGCCAAGAGCTCGGAGTTTCTTCCAGGTCTCCAGTAGGTGCAGGGGTCCAAGCACTTGAGCTGTGCCCCACTGCTTGCATCAGCAGGGATCCTGACTGGCAGCGGAGAAGCCAGGACTTGAACTGGCGTCCATATGGGAAGCCAGAGCTGCAGGGTAGGGCTTTAATCCACTGAGCCACAGTGCCAGCCCCCTCTCTGCCTTAAAACAGGAGCTGGCAATGTGGTGTAGTGGATCCAGTTGCTGCCTCCAATGCCATTCAAGTTTCTGCCATTCCACTTCAATCCAGCTTGTCAATGTGTGTGGGAAAGCAGTAGAAGATGGTTCCAGTCCTTGGGCTCATACATGCATGTAGTAGACCTGGAAGAAGCTCCCGGCCTTGGGCTGGCCCAGCCATGGTCATTGTGGCCATTTGGTGGGTGAACCAGCAGATGGTAGATCTGTCTCTTGTCTCTCTGTAAATGTGCCTTTCAAATAAATGAAACAGATTCAAAACAAACAAACAAAAAACCAAAAAACCTCACAAAAGTTTCCTAGGTGATTCGGATGAGTCTCCCTAAGAATCCCTGGAATTAAGTTTTTTAAAGCAAAAAGGAGAGAGAAGAAAAAAATTCAAAAAACAAAAACATAGGAGAAAAAGGCAATGCCCCAAGGCTCTTAAATACGCTCCGTTTTTCTATGCTATAAATAGGAAATCATTACTATTTCTGTCTTACACACAGGGAAACAGTAGAAAAGGAGAAGTCATTTCCAGTTTGTATTTTAGCAAGCTAGCTGCAGAAAGCCTACACATACTTGGATGCTTCTGCCATCATTCCCTTCTGACTGCTACCGACCTCTCCCCTCCCCGTCGCCCAGCACATCCAGTCTGTGCTCACAGTAGCTTTGGAACCTATCAGTGTCTTGCCTGTTCCCCAACTAAGGTGCAGGCTCCAGTGGGCTAAATAACAAGTCTTTCTGCCTTTTTTTTTTTTTTTTTAAAGATTTATTTATTTATTTGAAAGTAAGAGTTACACAGAGAGAGAGATGTCTTCCCTCCGATGGTTCGCTCCCCAATTGGCTCAACGGCTGGAGCTGTGCTGATCTGAAGCCAGGAGCCAGGAGCTAGGAGCATCTTCTGGGTCTCCCAAGTGGGTGCAGGGGCCCAAGGACTTGGGCCATCTTCTACTGCTTTCCCAGGCCATAGCAGAGAGCTGGATTGGAAGTGGAGCAGCCAGGACTTGAACCAGCGCCCATATGGGATGCCGGCACTGCAGACTGCAGCTTTACCCGCTACGCCACAGTGCCGGCCCCTTAAAATGTGTTCTAGAGGTGCTTCTGGCTGTGGTGTGTGATGCAGACTCAGGACGTGATGTAAGTTTTTCTTTTTTTTCTTTTTTTTTTTTTTTTCTTTTTGACAGGCAGAGTGGACAGTGAGAGAGAGAGACAGAGAGAAAGGTCTTCCTTTGCCGTTCGTTCACCCTCCAATGGCCGCCGCGGTAGGTGCGCTGCGGCCGGCGCACCGCGCTGATCCGATGGCAGGAGCCAGGAGCCAGGTGCTTTTCCTGGTCTCCCATGGGGTGCAGGGCCCAAGCACCTGGGCCATCCTCCACTGCACTCCCTGGCCACAGCAGAGGGCTGGCCTGGAAGAGGGGCAACCGGGACAGAATCCGGCGCCCCGACCGGGACTAGAACCCGGTGTGCCGGCGCCGCTAGGCGGAGGATTAGCCTAGTGAGCCGCGGCGCCGGCCATGATGTAAGTTTTTCTTTCTTGGGCTGGGACTTGGAATGTGATCCTGAACTGGATTTAGATCTTGAAAAAGATCAGTTTTGGTAACACCCACATTTTTAATTGTCGTTTTGGCTGGCATCTTGACATTTCTGCTTTTTAACTTTTTGTATATAATACATAAATGGCACCAGAAACCTAAAGACTGCCTGTATTTTAGATTCTGACAGCCAATGATTCTCATGCTAGTCGTAGACACCATTATTATCTCACTCTAAATCAGCTGCTAGTGTTTCTGCTTCCTTCTATCCCCTTGGGGGTTGCGGTGGAGGCTTCATTTTTTATTTTTGTCTGCATGTAACATAGAAGAAAAATATTTAAAGTAAAGCTAAACTTTGTCAGAGGCTGGCCCTGTGGGTAAAGCTGCCACCTACAATACTGGCACCCCATTCAAGTGCCAGTTCGAGTTCCGGCTCTTCCACTTCTGGTCCAGCTCCCTGCTAATGGCCTGGGAAAAAGCAGAAGATGGTCCAGGTGCTTGGGCCCCGGCCACCCATGTGGGAAACCTGAAGGAAGCTCCTGGCTCCTGGTTTCAGCCTGGCCCAGCCATGGTCATTTCCGCCATCTGGGGAGTGAACCAGCAGCAGATGAAATCTCTCCCTCCCTCTTTATCTGTAACTCTGCTTCTCAAATAAATTAATAAATGTTAAAAAAAAAAAAGATAAACTTTGTCTCTGCCTTTTCAATGCATAACTCTGGAATTAAGAAAATAAATAATTCTGGGTAATGTAGTTCATTGAAATGAAAATGTAAAAAGCCACAGGATACATTTTAATGAAGACGATTTTGCCACTCTGTGAGACTGCTCCACACAGGGCACTCAGTATCTCCAGCCTTCCTTAATAAATGCCAGCCACTGAAACAGCCAATGTCCCTCGCTGAGAATCACTGATTTTTTAAGCGCGTTTTGGGCTCTAAAGTACAACTCAACAGCGAGCTCTCTCCGGCCTGGCCCATACTTTCCCCTCGTCCCACACCACACTGATATCCTCCTGTGTGCACCATCTGCACGCCTGCTGCCTGCCCAGCCCGACACCCGCCTCTGCTCTAACGTCATCCCTCTCACTTGTTGGCTGGCAGATGGGATTCATACTTGCTGTTTGAGATTCAGCTAAACAAATAACCTGCTACCTCTTATTCCGCCTCCCTACTAAAGGCCTTGCTTGTTCTTCAAGCTCCCCCTGCACAACTGACCAGGTAAAAGCTCACCGCTGCTTGCTGCAGGCTCCAGAGGCAGATTTGAGGAAATACAGCACACGATCTGGAGTCAGAGAGGACTGAGCAGTGTCCTGGCTCAAGCATTTATTAGCTGTGTGACAATGGGCAAGTTACTCAACTTGCCTTGGTTCTGCCACTGGCAAAATAGGAAATTACTCATGTTATTGAACACACTGTGCCTATAAATGGGGATAAGCTAAGTAATGATTATTTTCTCCTGCTCTCAAGTTTTAATTAAATGTGACAAATATACACAAGACGAAGCAAACTGTATGAAACAGTCTGACTTTAACTGGACACGGCAAAGGCTATGTCTCACGTATTTGTGGAAAATGCTGAGCACAGAAGACAAACTGCAAGGTATCTACTAAATCAACTGCTAGCACTCTTCAAAAGAAAGCCTGTGTAACACGGGACACTTACCTTCTTCCTCTGTGGTGGGTTCTGGGGGGTAGAGGGGACTCCTTCACAGGCCCTTTCGACACCAGGAGACATGGATCCACGAGAGAGGTCTTTCATAAAGCCATGTTCATATCTGCTGGGAAACCCTTCTGCAGGGGAACAATATCCCCCATCCAAATGTAAAGGCTTCCTGTCTCCCACAAGGGGAGAACCTCGATACAATCCATCTGCTCGCGGCATAGCGTTCAAAGGGGAGTAGGCATACATCAAGTTGAACTCTGTCCGAAACCCCTGGTCTGAGTTTCTCCCAAGTGTCTGGTGTCCATCCGCACTCCTGCTTGGGAAGCCAGTTTCAGAAGCGGGTCCAACGGCAGGATGAGGAGCCAGGTCAGGATGACCGGAGTTGAGCAGGGAAGGTCTGTCAGCACAGCTGTTAGTGTTGGAGTCAAGGTATCCTACTTTTGTCAACTCCAGGTCTTTTCGGTGACAAAGCTGAAAGAATAAACATCAGCGGAGACATGGGGTAGGGGAGAAAGGAAAAAGTCAAAGGGCAGAAAGGAAGGGAGGCAAGAGGGACAGAGGTGAACAAGGGGAGATAAGAGAGCAGCTGTTAGCAACTCTAACAGTCCAGCAGCATATACAGGCCAGATTACTAAGGAATCCAGGCCTTTCCCAAACTGACTTAAAGTCTTTCCAGATGAGACTACTGGGAAAGTTGGAATTAGGAACTGGCCAAATGTGACTACTGTGCCTGCTTAGTCCTTCATCATCAGGTTTGCTACATCGTCCTGCACTGCATCAGGCACTAGGGCAATAATGAGGGGTTTACCTGAGCCCCATGCACACTATGGAGATGATACTGGGTGTTTTAGGATAACTGGCTTCTGGTGTTAATTCATTTCTAATACTGATGAAAAGAGGGGAGGGAAGAAGGTGGAGCAAAGTAGAAGGAAGATGGAAAAACAAGCATTTAAATTACTGGTTCAGGAAAGGAGACTGGCATCAAGGACATACACCAACCAGTTTTTCATTGAGTTTCACTGTCAAGGGAAGTGTTTCTCACTCTACTTTCTGGCCACTCAATTTTTTTATCCTCAAATGTATGTCAACCTATTACAAGACACAAATGCTTACCATTGCAGAGTACCTGAAACAGTGACAAAAATAACCCTGACCTATTGCAAACATTCAAGACACTGCACACTAGGTCAACTACAGTTCACTCTCCATGAAGAACAGCATAAAAAAAAAAAAAAAAATCAAGAAACCACAGCATGTTGCTCTCCAAATTATGTTATCTAGAATTCTCAACAATCAAGCAGTTTTATTTTGCTAACAAGACAGAGTCAAAACATGAGAAATATCTCTAGGACACTAGCAGAGTACTATCTTTTCCAGTTTCATACTCATCTATGAAAATTCCGTTGATTCAGACTTTGGGAAATTGTCACTGGGAAGGGGTGGGATTAAAATACAATTGCTTTCTGAGAGATAACAAACAAGGTTAACTTTCTCTTCAAGAAGAAAAAGGCTCTGCGTACATTCAGTTAATAATTGCTACATTTGTACACATGTTGTAATAGAAACTCCAGCACTAAAACCGGGATTTGACATCTTCGTAGCAGCAAGATTCCTGAGAAAAGCATTCAGTGGATATACAACGTGCACATCAAGTGTATCCCAATCACTGCAGAACGGAGGGCAGCTGCTGACACAGAACCCAAGGACTAACGACTTACTTGTACAACCAGTAAGGAGCAGAGCTGAGAGAGAATGGCTTTCACGTCTTATTCAGCTACTCAATCTATCAACCAAAGCCCAAAATACCTGGCTACAGTTACCAGATCAACCCTGGAATGAGGCATGAATCACTTCCCACTCTTCCACAGCCAGCTACTCCTTCCTAGATCAGGATGATGAATATCAAAAAGACAGACAGTCCTTACCAGCTTTCGATTCAAACCTTCCTTATTTGCTAACAGACGGACATCCCTTTCTTAAAGAGTTCTGTCACACTTTCAGCATCCTTTAAACTTGACTTGTATATTCTATTCTTTAATAATGCTCTTCAGCCCCTCCCCCGACAAGAAAAACCCCAACACTCAAGTGTGTGTATACGCGCACGCGCACACACAAAGCTACGTCATCTTCCTCCACCTACACCAACGGTCCTGTATAGCCACAGTCACACAGAGAGAGTCATTCAACTTGCTGTGACAGATCAACCACCCTCCAGCCCATCACCCCACTCACTGGGAATCCCAGCCCTCCCCACACACTCGGGAACACATTCATGCACACTCACTCTCAGCCTCCAAGTGTGATTGAGATGGTGTGATAACTACCTCGGGTGACAGGGACTCGGGCCTATGCGCAGGGGAACTCTCAGGGGAGGATATGTTCTAGAGGAGGGAAAAGCATCTTGTTATTCATCTACTCCAAGTCAAGAAGCAAAACAAAACAAACAAAAAATAAAAGCAAGCATAGATGTTAGCCACAACTTTTGGGGGTGGGTGGTAGGTAAGAATGCACAGGGGAAATGTTTACTTGCAGAACTCATCTCAATGGACAGAATGACTTGTTAAAATGCTTCCTGGTTTCTGAAAGCATTTAAGGATAAATTGGTTATATTTCATGCTATAAATAAACATCTCAAGCACCTATCAGGAGACAGAATGGTGAAAATTTCAATTGTATTTCTTTGTACTGTAAACGAGTTTAAAGTAACCTGTATTATTTGTTACTAAAGGGTATCTTACCCCTTACTCCTTAGATTTGTTTTTTAACTCCCATACCTGTCACATCTTTTTCTCCCTGCCACTGTCATTCAGGAGAACATCCTGGTATGCTGGGAGTTGACAAGGGTAGGGAGATGGCCAATTCTTTTTAAATGACACTTATGGGAAACGTGACAGATGGAATCCTTAGCTCAGCTAGACGTGGCTCCTGACTAATCTAATTAGATCACAACATCCTTAATGACATTCTCTTGGTTGAAATCCTTTGTACTTGGGGAACACAGCAAAAACTGTATGTGCTTTTGTGTGTACGTTTGAGAGCCTGTGTCTCACAACGGGTAGGACTTTCACCCAAGACGGCATCCCCACAACAAACAGGCCTGAGGAGTGAGCTCTTATGGAAAGTGGAGGTGGTGGCTGCTGAGTCAAGGATCCAGAACACCAGAACTGACGTCAAGCGCGGTAGGTTCGGCACAACTGTGGCACGGGGTGGTTAGCCTATACTGTGGTAGGGAGACAAAGCTGTTTCAGCTACGCAAGCTGTCAGCTGTGTATTTCACTGGCGGAGCAGGGGGTGGCTGCAGGTCTGTGTCTGCGAGTGGGAGGTGGAGAAGGAAGGGCTACTTGGTGCAAGGGGACAGGTAAGTGTGTCCTCAGAACGCTGCTTTCACTCCTCTTTCCAGATGCCTTCCTCTCCTCCCAGCTGCAGCAGTGGACATTTCTCACCATTCTGAACATCCAGCTCCAAAAACACTCTTCTCCAAACTGGCATTTACCTGTGACACCCGTCAGACACTTCTCTGTGTCACAGTCCATGAAGACACCCTATCTGTGCCATGAATCAGGGAAGACTTTGGCCATCAGAATGGTGGTAAGAAAAGGTTGGGGTGGTGAAGATGTGTTATTTTGAACTGATGACAAAGACTGTATTTCCTCGGTTAACTACAACTTGACAAAATGGAACCGAGCACTGGACCTCTAACCAGTTACTGTAACATCTTCCTCTGTTGGTTTTCTAACATGATGCTTGGACTGTGTGTCACTACAATGACCTTTGGTTTCTCTATTTTAATAAAGAAACCTCGAATTTGTACAAGTTTCGCAATTACTCAAAATACTAAAAAGGACACTGAATGCTGAGCTTGTTTTGGACGATGATTTACATCCTGATTTGTGTAAATTCACATTTATAATAAAATCCACATTGATAAACTATAGAACTCTGTTCCTATAATCCGCTGCTCTACTTGGAAGATGTCTTCTCACGGACTATACAACTATAGTTGCTAACTGAAAAGTTGACAAAGTTAGAGAGACTGGAATCAGCTGTTTTAATATCCAGCTAACAAAGAATGACACAAGAAATTTGGTGAAGAGTTAACTCCACTACAAAAGTCAAATATAACCATCAAAGCTCCCCTCAACACCCCCAGCAAAGAGGTTTGCTCCAAAAGTTAACAGGGTCTAGAGTTAGGTAGAGAATACAGCTGTGCTTTTGAGGGTGCCATCATCCTCTTATTGAGTTAGTCATATAAAAGTCCAGGTATTTTTAATCCTCAGGCTCTCAAGGCTGAGTGGGGAGGATGCAACTGGTTAGAACTCTGACCTTTATCAAAGAACACACGGAGAAGCAAAAACTAGGGGTGGAGCTTGGTATTTAGTCATTAGAACAAATTATTTTGAGAAATTAGAGATAGTGACTGTTTCATTATAAATCGAATCAACATGCAACAGGTAAGTTTTTATACACATGGAGTCTATGGAAACCTGTCACCCAAACTTTAATGCTAAAATGGTTCAGGATTATGTTTTAAAACACTTAAGTTATATATTTCTAACTTCATCCAAAGAATGGATATGTCACATGTGTATTGCTTGCCTCTTGTCTGCTTCTTCCTAACACATGATGACAACTTATCCTGCATTCACCACATGCCACATCCTGAGGCTTTCTAAATCTCTGTTCACTGAGGCCAAAAAGAAAATACCATCAACCCGGCAAAGAACACTCACTCATTTAAAGGTCCAGAAAATGGAGACACATCTGTTAAACTGAGCACTCAGGCTGGTGTTATTAAAGGTTGTGACAGGCAGCTAAACAGCTATTTTCACCAAGGTATCCAGCAGAGATAAAGATGGAGATCCAGGCATGCCCGCTACCTAATGTTATATAGAGGCTGATGGATAACATGCGAAAGACCAATGGATGGGGTCTGTGGAAGCAAAGTTCCTATTATGGGAAGTACAGGGGCTGTCAAGATGAGAGGCTACCAGGTAACCAGCCACACTGACCTTGAGGTTTCCCACACTCTGCTGAGATGGGGCAGGAAGACAATAAAGAAACATCTGGAATGATACTATATTTGAAATGAAGAAGTCCAAATGGTAGTAACTTTCACATCCAGCACTCCCAACAACCAAACCCAAATCACCTCAAACTGCAGAGGAGTGTTGCAGCGACTAGCAGTAGTAAGGGATGTGATTGGCGAGAACATGAGGCTGTATCCATTCCGACACTCCTCTTCTCCTGGATTAGATGGGCCAGGTGTGGTCAGCTGGGGGCTCTTTGAGCCTGAACTGGGAGGGGGTGGTGTGACTGGAGACAGAGGTCGAAGTAACTTGGTGACATTCTGCTCCATTAAATAGCGAGACTTCCATTTCTTCAATGGGCTCACCAAGTCTGTGAAACACAAAACTTCAATGAAAGCTCAACCAGAATTTAAATGTCCAAACTACAGTGGCTTTTCACTCCTCTTTGGCTTCATCTCATTAAATTCTCTCTTCCAAACAAAATTGCCAAAGGACTCTTCAACAATTACACGTAAAACAATCCTCAAAACATTATTTCCCAGAGAAACTTCAAATGCATGTGACAATTCTAATGACTGATCCTTGAAATGAAAATTTCTTCCTATTATACTATTTCTGAACATCTTAAATCTTTACCACTTGTTTAAAAATCACCCTCTACTAAAATGCCACATTACGTGGATGGCAGCTGCACATTCTTCTCAATTTTCTCAGTCTTTTTGTGATCCCTTTCAAACTTTGCTTGAGTAACACAGTTACACGTGATTCCTATCTACAGAAACAACTAAACTGTGGGTGGTTGGTGCAATGGCGAACACGCTACTTGGAACGTGTGCATCCTGTATATACACAAGTGCCAGTGCCCGAGTCCCGGCTTCCAGGTCCTGCTAACGTGCAGCCTCACTTGCAGCAGTGATGGCTCCAGTAGTTGGGTTCCTGCCACCCATGTTGAAGATCTGGACTGAGTTCTGAGCTCCTGGCCTCAGCTGTCACAGACACGTGAGGAGTGAAACAGCAGACATTAAGACCTGTATCTATCTCCTTCTTTTGACTTTTCAAATAAACAGGCAAATAAATATTAAGGGTATTTATTTACCAATTACCTATTATAGGAAAATTCCTGAAACAGGCACATAGTGGGTGGGGTTACTGGTCAAATTTATTGCTTTCAAATTTCTAAGAAAAAGAAAATACATAAAGCATATTTGATATTAAATCAGATTAGTATCAGCATGATCAAAAGAGGTGACCCAAGTGCTGTGTTAGTTTAAAAGCCTGCACTGGCAGCATCCCACATGGGCGCCGGTTCTAGTGCCTGCTTTTCCTCTTCTCATCCAGCTCCCTGCTATGGGCTGGGAAAGCAGAAGATGGCCCCAATCCTTGGGCCCGCGAACTCGTGTGGGAGACCCAGAAGAAGCTCCTGGCTCCTGACTTTAGATCAGTAAAGCTCCAGCTGTTGTGGATGTTTGGGGAGTGAACCAGCAGGTGGAAGACTTTTCTCTCTCTCAAATAAATAAAATCTTAAAAAAAAAAATAATGTATGTACCGCTGGATCCAACACTGCAACCTCTAAGTCTGTTGGAAAAATCATGAAGTTCAGTATGGGAAAGACAGAAAATACAGATGAAAACTGCCAACTGCAAATCAAGACACAAGGCATTTATTGATTATGTATTTACTGAGTACAGAAGATATGCTAGTCAGCAAAAAAGACATCATGTTTATTAACCTAATGAACTTTTTTTTTTTTTTTGACAGGCAGAGTGGACAGTGAGAGAGAGACAGAGAGAAAGGTCTTCCTTTGCCGTTGGTTCACCCTCCAATGGCCGCCGCTGCAGCCGGCGCACCGCGCTGATCCAATGGCAGGAGCCAGGAGCCAGGTGCTTTTCCTGGTCTCCCATGGGGTGCAGGGCCCAAGCACCTGGGCCATCCCTGGCCACAGCAGAGAGCTGGCCTGGAAGAGGGGCAACCGGGACAGAATCCGGCGCCCCGACCGGGACTAGAACCCGGTGTGCCGGCGCCGCAAGGTGGAGGATTAGCCTATTGAGCCACGGCGCCGGCTAGTAACCTAATGAACTTTATAGGGCAGTAGTCATCTGCTTAATTTTCTTTTCTACTTAGTTAATTGCACAGAAATTTTCAAATTTTATGTGGTCATCTTATATTACTTTTCAACAAAACCTTTACTCAAGTAATTCAAGATTACAAAAACAAACATGCATGCATTTAAACATATACCCTGGTGTATTTCTATCTCAAGATCTTTCATCTCAGGGCTTTATTAATGCCTGTCTTACTCACATTACTCAGTAATTATTTCCACTCAGAAACACATGGCAAAAAATTAACAAACATCCAACACCCTAGTTTTTAATTACTGGCATTAGTACTGTAAAATCCAACCAATATGTTTTTAAAATTTTTGCTATTTTAATTATCTTCTAAAGCCAGTAATTTTATTCTTGCTCAAGCAGTGAGTAGTTCTTCCACCTATGTGGGAGACCCACTTGGAGTCCTGGGCTCTTGGTTTTGTCCTGGGCCAGCTGCAGTACCAGCTGAGGGCCTGTGAGGATTGAACTCACACACACTGAAGATCTCTGCTTCTCTCTTTTTCAAATAAAACACAGAAAAATACAAAATTTATGCTAATTAACTTTGTATTTACTATTGGGTGAACTGCCTGTTGAGGTCCTACCAGGAAGCTATTCTCAGTATTTTAAGTGTTCCTTAAATAATAAAATGATAATCCTTTGTCAAAAATGTTACAAATATTTTTTCTAGCTTGTGGTCTGCCTTTTATTTACAGTCATTGTTACACAATGTTTCATGTTTTATTTAGTCAAATGCATCAATCATTTCCTTTATTTTCAGCTTTTTTTTTTTTTTTACAGGTAGAGTTAGAGAGAGACAGACAGAGAGAAAGGTCTTCCTTCCATTGGTTCACCCCCCCAAAATGGCTGCTATGGCCAGTGCGCTGTGCCGATCCAAAGCCAGGAGCCAGGTGCTTCCTCCTGGTCTCCCATGCAGGTGCAGGGCCCAAGGATCTGGGCTATCCTCCACTGCCCTCCCGGGCCACAGCAGAGAGCTGGACTGGAAGAAGAGCAACCAGGACAGAATCCGGTGCCCGCTGAGACTAGAACCCAGGGTGCCGGCGCCTCAGGCGGTGGATTAGCCTAGTGAGCCACAGCGCTGGCCATCTGCCTGTTAACATGAATGCCTTGGCCACTCCACCCCAGGACTATACAAAAATACAACTCTGTTTTCTTTTTATCTCCAGGTTTAATTAATTTACTTTTTAGAGATTTATTTAAGTCACACACACAAACCCCAAAAAGCAGGGGGAGAATGATCTTCCAACTGCTGGTTCTTCCCCAAATGGCCTCAAAGGCAGAGGCTGGGCCACACTGAAACCAGGAGCCTGGACAGCCATCTGGGCTGCCCATGTGGGTAGAAGGGACCCATATACTTGGGCTATTTTCTGATGCTTTCCTAGGCACATTAGTAGTGGGCTGGATCAGGAGTGGAGCAGCTGGGATCTGAACTGGCGTTCCAGTAGGGAAGCCAGGTATTGCAAGCACTGGCTTAACCTGCTACATCACAATGCTAGGCCCCCCCAGCTTTAAATTTCACATTTTAACTAAAAAAGAACATACTTCACGACAGTTATGAATCTACCCTTATCCCATGTCAAAAAAAACCAGTATTTTCTTCTAATATGTTTTGAAATTAGTGAGTAATTTCGATTTCTCCACTGATTCGAACCATCATATTTATCCAACAGTTTCTTACATATACTGGGTTTACTTCTCAATGTTATTCTTGGGGTTCCTGGGGCGGATTACTTGGCCTACCAGTTGAGACACCCGCACCCCATACTGGAGTGCCTGGGTGCTAGTCCAGGCTGCACTACTAATTCCTGCTTCTTGCTGAAGCACAGCCTGGGAGGCAGAAGGTGATGGCTCAAGTAGGCTGGACTCTGCAGCCCACACAGGAGACCTGGGTTGAGTTCCCAGCTTCTGGCTTTGGTCTTGCTGGCATTTGTCTCCACCAAATTAAAACAAACATTTAAATGTTATTTTACCTGTTACTCTCTAATGTGGAATCGATACTGATTCGCTTTTTAGTAAAACTGTTGTGGCAATTTCAGTAATTGTGCCTCAGCTCTCCAATGATAATGGGGCTAGTCTAGCACACCTTGATGTTAATGGACCACAGAAACAATTTGCATAGTTATAAAAAATGTCAGGGTTTTGACTGGTGTTCTATGAAATTCATGAATAACAGAGGGGAGCATTCTCAGGAACACAGCACATATCTTTCCATTATATAGCCTTGATTCGTATCACTTCACTCAGCCAGGACACAACTTCTAAGCTAACTTTCAAGTTAATCAATGTTCTCTAGTTTTGTTACTGTGGTGAATAGGACATATTTCTCCATTTATGCTAGACTTTAGATATTATTTGTACATAACATATACACTCTCTTTACCAGTACTTATAAAGTATTTTTGGTAATCTCTTCTAGAATATGCTTCATAATTGAAATCCTAGTGGGAACAATTTGACAACTCCTTTTAAAGTTTTACTAGCTTTCACAATGATGGTAACTGGCCATTGATTCAGGTATTTTAAAAAACTATAGGGAGGAAGGGTGGGGGCAAAGTGCTACTATGTTCCTAAATCTGTATATATGAAATACATGAAACTTGTATAACTTAGATAAAATTTTAAAAAAATCATAAATATTACTTTACATACATATTTTTCCTAAATCCAGAATCGTGTTATTACTTTGCCTCTCTCATCTGACCTTCTAACAAATGAATAATAAATTGTCAAATATTAAGCCATTCTTACATTCCTAAGAAAGGTCTTACTTAGTCATAACATATTATTTTTATATTCTTAGAGATTCAAGCTGCTAATTAACATTACGTATCTCATTCAAAAGTGATATGATGGTTGGATTTTTGGGGGTGGGTTAAGGTATTAATAATTGAATACAGCTGATAAAACTATATCTTGCTACCATCCCTTCATTGGATGGAACTCAGGTTATATATATATTCTCTATGATAGCATATTTACCTGTAAATCTTGGTTTCACACACTTACTTCTTTTTTTTTGACAGGCAGAGTTTTAGACAGTGAGAGAGAGACAAAGGTCTTCCTTCTGTTGGTTCACCCCCCCAAATGGCTGCTATGGACAGCACATTGCGCCGATCCGAAGCCAGGAGCCAGGTGCTTCCTCCTGGTCTCTCATGCGGGTGCAGGGCCCAAGCACTTGGGCCATCCTCCACTGCCTTTCCAGGCCACAGCAAACAGCTGGACTGGAAGAGGAGCAGCCAGGACAGAATCCGGCGCCCCTACCGGCACTAGAACCCGGGGTCACACACCTATTTCTACAGAACAGATACCTAAAAGAACAACTTCTAGGTTAAGGATTGTGCCTACTTCCAATGCACATGATAATCTTATCAAATTGCTAGGAGGGATATTATTTTCATTTTTATTGCAAACCATTTCCTAACAGAAGATTAACAATCTTTGATTCAGAGAAAACAGATACAAAAATGGATGATAGTTTGACTATATATATAAAAAAAAGGTGAATTCGAAGAACTCTGGAACACCCTGCCAAATGCTGCTGACTGCTCTGTCCGAAGGCGCACCCATCTTCCCGCCAGCACCATACTCATGATGAGTACAAGCTCATCTTACACTTCCAGGAACTGTCACTACTGTGGGAACTGTGTGAAGAAACAGAGAAAGGAGGTATGTGTGTACATACATATTATTTATTATTTCCATTAATGAATATGGAATTTCTCTCCATTTCCTAAAGCTTCAAACATATTTTACAGGAATGGTTTGTTTCACATATCCAATCAAGGTTATTTTTCTAGGTATGTACTTAGAAAAGATTAGGAATAGAAAACTTCTTCAGAAATTTAAGTTTCAGTTAAAATTCTCCTAGGAATAGCAGAATACTTCAAAAAAGTTTGTGGAAAGTTAAAAACAAAGTTATTTTGGTGTAAAAAGATTTTGAAATCCATGCATTTTTTTGGTAATATGCATTTTCCAAGGACTTTCTGAAGACTCCTCAGATGTGAAGATTTCAAGTTTTACACTAGAATAGATTTAACTAATTCTATTTCTCCACAAGCTTCACTTTTTTTTTTTTTTTTTTTTTGACAGGCAGAGTGGACAGTGAGAGAGAGAGACAGAGAGAAAGGTCTTCCTTTTGCCGTTGGTTCACCCTCCAATGGCTGCCACGGCTGGTGCACCGCACTGATCTGAAGGCAGGAGCCAGGTGCTTCTCCTGGCCTCCCATGGGGTGCAGGGCCCAAGCACTTGGGCCATCCTTCATTGCACTCCCAGGCCACAGCAGAGAGCTGGCCTGGAAGAGGGGCTACCGGGACTAGAACCTGGTGTGCCGGCGCCGCAAGGTGGAGGATTAGCCTATTGAGCCACGGCACCGGCCCACAAGCTTCACTTTTAAACTTTATTAATTAATTAACTTGGGAAGCAGGAAGATACAGAGCGAGTGTCCATCCGCTGGTTCACTCCCTGAATACCTATAACAAGGGGAGCCAGGAATTCTTTTTTTTTTTTTTTTTTTTTGACAGGCAGACTGGACAGTGAGAGAGAGAGAGAGAGACAAAGAGAAAGGTCTTCCTTTTGCTGTTGGTTCACCCTCCAATGGCCGCCACGGCTGGCGCGCTGTGGCCGGTGCACCGCGCTGATGCGAAGGCAGGAGCCAGGTGCTTCTCCTGGTCTCCCATGGGGTGCAGGGCCCAAGGACCTGGGCCATCCTCCACTGCACTCCCTGGCCATAGCAGAGAGATGGCCTGGAAGAGGGGCAACTGGGACAGAATCTGGCGCCCCGACCGGGACTAGAACCCGGTGTGCCGGCGCCGCAAGGCGGAGGATTAGCCTGTTGGGCCACGGCGCCGGCCGGGAGCCAGGAATTCAATCTCACACAATGAACAGGATCCCCAAGAACTTGACTACCTGCTACTTACAATGGTGTGCATTAGCAGGAAGCTGGAATAGGAAGTGTAGCTGAGATTGGAGTTGAAGTACCGAAATGAGATGCAGGTGTCTTAACAGCTAGGCTGAACGTCTGTCCCCTGCCATGAGCTTTTCTGAAGTGCCCATATACATTCATGCTATTCACAAATATTGAACCCGGTGTGCCGGCGCCACAAGGCAGAGGATTAGCCTACTGAGCCACTGCGCCGGCCTTACACTTGAGTATTCTAAGTAGACTGGTAACAATTCCTAGGACGTGTCTGAAAACTGCACTGAGAACATTATTCAATCTCATACTAGTCCAGAAAGCAGACATTTCTATTTCTGTTTTAGAGATGAGGTTTCGAGTACCATAATTAGTAAAAGGTAGAGGTGGTCGCCAAGTAAGTCTTTTCCCCTCCAAACCAATCTGTCTCCCTTTCCTAACATCTTGATACTCTTGGACAAACAAAGGAAAATGAGCAAATGAAAACAGTTTCTTAGGATGTGCAGCAACTTTCTGCAATGAGTCAACCGTCTTAGTACTGCTTGACTTTTTAGTTAAACATTTTGCTGCTGTTTATGTTGCTCTTTAAGGGCAGTGTGCATCCTGTCAGAGAGACTAAAACTCCATTCTAAACAGGCCATCTAAGAACACACACATCTTCCCTATATTTTGTCTAGTCAGGACATGAATGATTGACTAATCTCTCCTAACTAAACACATACATAATACAAACATATGTAGGCAGGTGCACACAAACCATTCGCACACACTTAACTTACACTCTCCCTATGCGATAAAAGCTGCCCACCAATTAATAATAAATAGATGGAAATCTGCTACCAGGATTTTCTATTAATCTTTGTTAAGAATATTTATTTTTATTTGAAAGCCAGAGTTGCTGCTTCACTCCCCAAAGGACTGCAATTGCTAGGGCTGGGCCGGGCTGAAGCCAGGAGCGGAGCTCCGTTTGGGTCTCCCACATGGTGCAGAGGCCCAAGGACTTGGCCATCTTCCACTGCACCTTTCTCAGATGCATTAGCAGGGAGCTGGACTGGATGAAGACATCTGGGACTCGAACCAGTGCCCATATGGGATGCCAGCATTGCAGGTGGAGGCTTACACTGCTGAACCACAACACCAGCCCCCTTTTCATTAATCTTGTTTGATTAAGTCTCCCTGACCTTGATGAAGAACAAAGTAAAATATTTTAAATATGAATGGTATCATTTATATCTCTGAAGCTCCACTCTGTGATTTTATTATCCTGAGGTCATTTACATGTTCACTCACAAGGTATAATCCAATCTAGATACAGAAGAATACATTAAATCAATAATTAAAATAATGGCAGCATACCTTCTAAATAAAAGCTTTAAACACCTCCAAATGTAATTTTAATGTAAAGCAGAAATGACTATAAATTTAATTAAATTCAACTTAATAATTATACAGCAAGCAGATGACGAGCAACAACGAAGTGGCTTTTACAAAATTCTGAGCTACCATGATAGCTGCAGCCATACAAGAGCTTTAGCATCCAATTTATTTTGGGATTTTATTTTGATTACTTAAGTCACAAAATTGGTTTAGAAGTGAACTTAGGGAAAACACATAGAACTTTTCCATTAAGCTGATATAGGCAGGAAAAACTTAGGTGAAAAGACTGCCCAAAGTAAGATGGTATTACAAGTTAGTGCAATAGCACTTTCACTTAGAACCCCTTGAAAGAGTTCACAGTAAAGTCCAATGGACCAGATGATTTTTTTTCATGGCCAACAAGTCCAAAAGCTCATGGGGACTTTGAATTGGACTTAAAGCCATTATCTTCTGAAGATTTTTCCACTAATTGCAAAGTCATTTTGAAAACAATCAGTTGATAATTTCTCATTTATTTCATTCATTCCCTGCTCAACCAAGCCCCACCAACTTAATCATTTAAAGTTTGATTTTTTCCTGAATATCAGTGTTTGACCACTTTCTTGCCCTTCCCCCACCCTTAGAAATACACATACAGATTTCCTAAACTTACTACTTTAAATGTATCTAACCTTTTCATAACCATTTCTGCTGTTATCTGAGTACTGTCTAGTTCCTTCTTTGTCGTCCTGGGAAAACTGATCCCTGACTTGAGATCTCTCTCTTCCTCTGTAAAGACAGATGTAAAGTAACTATTTAGAGAACATGCTATTTCTTGTTTATAATAAAAGTAGTAATACTACAGTTTAGCATGTGGACCTGAAACAATCACTGCTTATACAGTCAGAAGAGTTTCAGATACACACCTGCATTGTCTTTGCAGATGCTGGAAGAGTTACTATTCTCTTTACTTTGGTATAGGTGCTGAGTTCTAGTCTCTTGGGATACAGATGATGTTTGAGTCATTCCTTCCTCCAAGGCTTGTTTCATCCAACGCTAAAATGAGAAAAGAACCAAAGAATTATTAATAATCATTTAAAATTATTTAGTATAACTATTTCAAATGCACTAACCAGGTCATTACGTGCCAACTGGTGAGAGATGCAATCCAACACACTCATTCAGTTCCACAGTCAAGTATTTTACTGCCTTGTATTTCTCCATATTACAACACTGCCCCTTTAATTCTTCTACCAGACAAAACTAAGAAGATCTGGACTACGCATAATGAGATCCCATCAGAAATCAGAACTAGTAAAATTTTGACTATGACTAAATTTTTCATACAGCTTAGCATGGAACAAATGCTTAAGAGATAAGGAAGAAATCGTAGTATCGATCAAGAGAGATTTTGATCATAGAGAATAAAATTAGGTAAAATAAATGCATAAAAGGAGAATAAAGATCTCTTAACAGTTGTCTGCCCTGTGTGGGGGGACACCAGAAGACATAACAGAAAGGATTCACAGGGAACATTCTGGAGAATAAACAGCTCTTCACTAGAGGCACACAAAGACTTCTAAAAGGTCTACTCCAAAAACAGAGCGAATTATGGGCTTTCCCACCCCATGAAACAGTTTTTGGTTAAGTTCTGTATGATAATGCAAATCACCAAAACAAAGGACTTGCAGAAAAAAAAAAAAAAAAAAAGAATGGGGGGGCACCTCTAATCAGTCACTTTTTTGGGCAGTGAATACTGGAATCTACATAGATGAGAAATAAATTTAGGTCAGCCAATCAGCCTGCAAAGAGTAGGGTAATAAGAATATGCATTCTGTGGGAGAGAGAAAATTTCTTACCTGTAACTGTATTCTATTCAGATACACAGTTGTATGTTGCTCACCACTGTATGGCTCTCCTGCTCTGATATAAGACAGATTGAGTTTTGATAAACATCAATTTCTGAGTCACACCCTCCCCCAAATAGGAAGAGCCAAGGTGAATTCTTATTTTTATATTTTTAGATGACATATATTACAGGTAAGTAAATATTCTCTCACCAAAGAGAACATTCTAACAGATTTCCCTTTTCAAAACTTAGAAAGTATTCCAGGAAAATTCTCCCAAGAAAAATCTTGTATCACATAAATGTCACTGTAAAAACGAGGAGGTAAGAGTGAATGTGTACATAAAAAGGAGATCAACAGTCATCTGAATCAATCAGTACCTCAGAATATGACTAGGTCTCTGAGAAGCCAAAATAAAGCAAGAATGAACTCTCTTACATGCAGAATATCGATGTGAAGATGAACTGTCAGAACCACAAATCCTCAGAGCTTAGAAGAGACCTCAGAGGTTACCTTGTCCCAAGCACTTAATTTAACAGATGGGGTAAATTAGGTCTGGGAGGACAAAATGAGTGAAAAATCCTGTTACAGATACCTTTAGTACAAGTTTTTCTTCTCAGAGCAGATGACAGAACTCATTTGGGTTCACTGAGCTTTCCTCTGAGACAAGTTAATTTTTTATCTTTCCAGTGTCAAGTAGATGTTATCCATAAAAGAATTCACATTCTGGATCTGATGACTACAAAAAGGGAACATAAAACCAGAACAGGGACATTCTGGGAATAAGATGCCACTATGGTTGGCTATCAGGTTAAACACAGCAAATATGGTCAAAATTCATTCCTCTTGGCCCTGTTATATTTTTTAAAGTTCTTTCAGGACCCATGTAAAAAAGGAACATAAACATTTGTATCTAACAAGTACCAATTACCCCCATGGGTGATAAATTAATTTTAGACTCCCCTTCCCCACCTGCTCAAGTTCTATTTATAGCCCTAAAGTCATAAAACTGAGAAGTGTTTTTTAGGAGGCATAATTATTAGAGCAATGTTTCCAATGGTCTCTTAACTGTGAGGAAAGAACAGGGAAGTAATATCAGTTCTGGGTCCAAAAGGCCTGGGTTCAAACTTGACTGTGCCACTTACTAACTGCTTCACTTTGGGCAAGTTAAACCTTCCTAAGCAGAGCTTCTAGATCTGTAAATAGAGGCAAATAACCCCAGAGTCACAGGGCTGTCACAAAGATTGAGACAATGTAGGTGAAAAAAAAGGTTCCAGCACAGTGGTGGGCACACAGATCTTAACTAAATTCTAAAGGTCTACTAAAAGATACACAGACCAATTAACCTCCAGGGTATACAATTAAATCCCAAAGTACAATATTTCATTATCAGGTTGGTTTTAAAAGAAATCTAGCAGATCCAAGGCCTTACACATATATCTAGAGTAAGTTTAAAGAGAAAAGTGGGACATCACTAAAAGGCTTGATGCTCACTAATAAATGCTTCTCTTTCAAAATAATTGAAAATCTAAAAGGAGACATATAAAATCAGAAAATGCCTTATAATAATTATGACAATTTACCAACTCGAGATAATATAAATATTCTGTCAAATACTCCAAGAATCTGGAGACAAATCTACAAATACAATTATTCAATCTTGTACCATTTTTAACTTACAAGGCCTTTGCCACCTTTAACTCAGAAATGCGACAGACAGTGGGCCTAGTAGGAATATGAACTATTTTAACTGATCCCACAGAGGAGTTTTTTCCTCATCTATTTGGTTAATTTATACTCTGAGGGACTTTCACAATCTTATTAAATTGTGTTTAATCATGGAAATGTTCTCAGGTCCTACAGTAGTTGAGTCCTTTCACACATATCTAAAAACAGCTTTCTCATACCCACCCAGGAGAAAGCTGAATGTACCTTCACACTAAGATTCTTCTACATTAATTTTGTCTGATATAATGCTGCATTGTGATTTTGTAAAAGAATCTTGATGTGCTTACATCAAGCGTTAGTGATTTAATCTCAAACAATTCAGACCACAATTTAAACAATTTAAAAATAAATAATATAAACAGTCTTGCTATGATAACTCAATGTCCATTGCCTGAAGTTTACCTACGGATTGAGCATGAAACATATAGATTCAAGTGCTTGAACAGAGCCTGTGGAACTCAAGACTAAGGAAGGTCAGATACATTTGGAGACTATCACATGGATTTCCATTACACAAGATTCTCTCTTGCCAGTGGGGACACAAAGATAAGCTACAGATCCAAGCTCTAAATCACAACCAGGCCAAAAGAGCTCAAATAATGGATTTTCTATTAGATCTGAAGACACAGTACTAAACACATGCTTTTGGTTTTCTCAAGTCTCTGCTGGTAGGGAAAGCAGATGAGAACAGAAAGAAAATTGAAGAGATAAGCCCACACTATGTACACTTCAAACTCCAGTATTAACCTACATTAAGTCAGCTATCTACCAAAACAGGAGACACTATTACCTCGCCAGGCCTTAGGAGAAATCCAGTACTGTTTTCAGCCAGATACAGAACAAAAGGAACTAAACTTTTTCATATATATTAAGCCTTTCTCAACTTGCTCCTCCTTTTGAATACAGACCACACGTACAGCCCTTAAAATTTTTAACATGATTCACAAATGCAGTTACAATTCTGAGCTTTCACTCCTAACAAGGGATTAGGCAACGCTAAATCATGAGATCAGCTCTCAGTACTGCACACCAATACCAGAGTTAGTAGCTTTCCAATTACGATGGAAGGTTAATTACAAAGCTAATTACAAGGCAAATGACTTTCCTTCTCAGGTCATCTTTAGGATACAAGATACACTAGTCTTTCAGGGTGAACTGGTGTAAGGAAGTATTCTCAAAGACCCAATGCCCTTTCAGTACTAAGACGAATGTCCTGTAGGAAGGTTTTCCAGAAATGTACTGTTCTTATTTTTTTTTAAAGATAGTCATCATTATGTGATTCTGATACCTGAAAATCATGTATGCTATTACATTATATGCAATTTTTTTTTGCAATGATCTCAAGGGCAAATTTATCTTTAGGGATTTCTTCTGCTTTGGAATTGCCCAGCAAGGGACTCCAACCCTTCAGTAAGATGTGCAACCAGGAGCAGATGTTCTGCAATGTGCGCTGCTCACTTAGCAGTTGTGCCCTTCCTTTTTGCCCTCCTCCTCCCCTCCATATCCCCTCCTTCACGCCCCCCTCCCCCCAAGAAATATTTTCTGTTCTTTGGGAAAGATAAAAGCTTTAAGTTTGGAGGAGTCAGGGAAGACGTGCCTGGAGTTGGAGACTTCATCACATCAAATAATCTACATGCAGCATCCTCATGTACGTGATGCCAGTGGAGGAGGACAATGGCAGACACTGAGGAAGGCAGCCTGAATCCAGATCTGAGGATAAGAGAAAAGGGTGTTCCAGGGAACAGACTACCTCAAAGGAAGACCAAATGAAAGGGACTCCTGCACTTCTAGAAAACAGAAATGACATTACAGCTCGGAGGAAGTGACGTGTTCCTTCGAGATACCTTTGGAAAACACATAGGGCTTCTGGGTATTAAGAGAGAGCATTCCAAAAACAACTACCAATCACCACTCTACTAGATCCAAAAACACTAAATGGAGAGAGGACAAAGAGGCAGAGAGAGAGGGGGAGAGAGCCTTTTATAGTAGTTTCTATAATCTCAAAGGAATAAACAGTTGTCACTTGGTCAAGGAATAGGAATTATGCCAATTACAATAGGAATTTCCCGTTGAACTCCATCAAGTGGTAGTAGTGACTGAATTAATTTGAAACACAATTTGTTCATTTTAAGCTCAGGCAACAGTGTTCTAAAGTATCTGGGGCCCAGTCTCACACAGTATCACAAATGGACATGTCAGTCAATACCGCAAGAGTACACACAACATATCCCTCCCTACCCATTCGTCAGCTGCTGTGTGCTCTCACTCCATGATCTCAAGGGCTCTCAGGAGCAGCAATAGTGAATACTCACAAAGTTGAGCATCAAAAATCAAGTATACATCCCACCTTAGTCCTACTGACTCTAGCTGCATCAGCAGTCATAGCTGAACAACTGACTCAGTATTAACTTACATGGGCAGAGAGGCTATCTAGAAAATGTTAGATATATCACAATTTAGGTGTCCCAGGGGAAAAAAAACACCCTCCCGCCCCAAAACCAAAAATTATCACATAAACAGACATACCTTTTTACAGGAGCTGAACGTGCCGTCAGGCAGAAGGGGCCTCCGACGCCTCTCAGGCATAAAGGGCGAGCCAAAGCGAATGTAGTGTTTAGGGGTGGTGCAAATTAATGGGGAATGAATAAGGCCTGGGAGCATGTTCAGGGTCGTGGCCAGTACAGTTGGGTCCGTGGTGATACGTAAAGGGCACTCAACAGGGCACTCTTGCTTCTCTGCTTTGTCATTCAACCATTCTGTAACTAAATACTATGACAGAGAGAGAGAGAGAGAGAGAGAGAGAAAGAGAGAGAGAGAGAGAGAGAGAGAGAGAGAGAGAGAGACTGTTAGTTAATGTTGCAAATGCAAAAGCCAGAGGCAGCAGTGCTGATCACAAAGACAAATCTCTTGTAGAAACTAGGACAGAGGGAGCTGCAGCAGCTGCTGCAGAGTATGAACTGGGCATTCAGAACACAGATAAACTTCACCCTTCCCAAGTGCACGAAGAGAGGAATAATTTTAGCTATCGATGATTTGAGATCTGCCTTAAAATAAGGAACAAAAGGTAGTGGGATGTCTTCAGTTTTCTGTATCATTTTGTATAAACACATTTAATCTAATAACATGGAGATTATTTTTTTCTGGAGATTGACTGCAAGATTTCTCATTTCACTAGACAGCTCTTGTCTGACCAGACGCAGGAAGCATCTGTATTCGTGACTTACCTTTTTGGTTTTAGGGTATTTAGATGCAGCACGGTTGGCATGGGATCCAGTAAGTGATACCACAGTTGGGTCAGAGCCTGTTAACTGCCTGTTTTCTCCTGAACTGTCTATACTTCCAGACTCAGCAGGAGTTACTGAACTGTTATTTCCACCCTCTTCCAGGGTAGCTTGTGACAACTCTGCCTGCTGTGCACTGGCTTGCTTCTGCCGCTTCAATCTTTGGGCTGAACTGGTCCGGTACCGAGAAATTCGGCTCTTCGGTCGGGGCCTAGAAGGCTTTGCTGGAGGTGGTTTGGGGACTGGTTTTTCAGCAGCATTATCCTATGAAAATATCAGAGTTAAGCATTACCAAAAATTTATCAGCAAACATTCAATTTTGTATACACTTTTCTTTATTTGAAAGGCAGAGTTAGAGACAAAGAGGTATTCCATCCTCTGGTTCACTCCCTAAAGCCACAACGGCAGGGTTTGGGCCAGGCAGAAGGCAGGAGCCAGGAGCCAGGAGCCAGGAGCTTCTTCCAGGTCTCCCATGTGGATGCAGGGGCCTAAGGATTCGGGCCTTTCTCCATGCTTTCCCAGGCACACTGGCAGGCAGTGGAATTGGAAATGGAGCAGCTGAGACTCAAACTAGCATCCACACAGGATGCTGACGCTGCAGGTGTCCGCTTAACCTGCTATACAATGATGGCCCGTTGCATCTATTTCTAAAATGTATTATAAAATATTTTATAAAAAATCAGCTATAGGAACCACTTAATGTTAAGGTTATGAGCAGGAAAGAAAATTCTTCCTTGTGTTTCTTTCCCAGATACTGCAGTTTCAGTTTATGGCTGAGATTCACGGCTTGGGTACGGAAAGAAAAGAGGTTTATCCTGTGAACTCTATGGATAAGTATAGGCTATAAGGAAGATACATAAAAGAAACCAAATTAACTTTCATGTACTTGGGGCCAGTGCTGTGGTGCAGCGGGTAAAGCCGCCACCTGCAGAGCTGGCATCCCATATGGGCGCTGCTTCGAGTGCCAGCTGCCCCACTTCCAATCCAGTTCTCTGCTATGGCCTGGGAAAGCAGTCCTTGGGCCCTCGTACCCGCGTGGGAGACCAGGAAGAAGCTCCTGGCTTTGGATTGGCACAGCTCCAGCCAAGGCAGCCAACTGGAGAGTGAACCAGTGGATGGAAGACCTCTTTTCTTCTCCGCCTCTCCTGCTCTCTCTGTAAAACTCTTTCAAATAAATAAATAAATCTAAAAACAAACAAACAAACCCTTTTAAGTACTCACCAGCAACAGAAACAATACCAAATACTAACCTAGTTTAAAGGTTGTCTATTTGTTCAACTTTTGACTTTATATCTCCCTGAATTCCACACATCAGCCAGTGAAAATGTTAAATGGTCTTACTTGTAGTACAGGGAAAAGCTGGAAATACTGATTAAAAAAAAGGCAAAAAACAAAGGCAGGAGTCTCCTGGAGTTTTTTCTTCCAACTCTTACCCCTGCTTGGGAAGACCTCCGGGTGTTCACACCAACAGTCTGTGAGATGCTTGGGACAGCAATGTTTGAAGCAGGGTTGCTAGCTTCAACTTCAGGGGCTTCAGTTTTTGTTTCTTCTCCCAAAGGAGTCCCCAAGACAGTGGCCGTGACCTCTATATCAGAGCTGCTCTGTTCAAAGGGCTGATCTCGCCGTTTCTTTCGCTTCTCTAAGTTTTCAAAAGCATGCATGATGGCTTCAACCTTTCTGTCCTCCCGGGTCTAAAAAGAAAGAGCATTAGTAGAGAAAGAAGCTTATCAAAGAGGAGGGGACAGAGTTTTCAGAAGCATGATTAATGTAACGAATAGAAATTCACCAGTAAGATGACACATAAATCTTGGAGAATCTTAAGAAAAACACTAAAAATATTTCATTTTAAACATGGGGAAGTTATAAAACAAAGCCAAGCCAAGCCAAGCCTAAACTTCCAAAACAAATCAGCGATTTTTATATAAATCAAAAAGGGTCATAAAATAAGCTTTTCCTTGTATTTCCAGAGCTCAAAAATAACCAACTAGGCTCTTTAATTTCTCAGTAATATAAACAAAAATGACTGGCTTCAGCATAAAAGACTTTAATCCATAAAACTAGAATGGTTTTTTAAAAAAATCAACACTCACATAAACATAAGAAATTCCCAAGTTAGAGTAAAACTGCCCCAATCTATCTTGTTTTTTGCCAGCCAAGTATTGGAGAAAAGGTTGTTAGTAAGGAATCTTCAAAAATCACATTTAACTAATAAGTCACTTGTCAGCTACTCTATATGTATGTGTTGGTGTAGAGAAACAAATTTTTAAAGTATAATGATACCTATTTCAAGGAAAAGGCCCAAGTTAATCTCATGTCAAATAAACAAAATGATACAAACTCCAGAGAAGAGAAGGAGTGTGCATGCTGTAGACAGTAGAGTCAGAAAAAGCTATGGGATGTTAGGTGGTACACACCCTCCTACTGTGAGTTGCACTCTCCTGGTCATCTGCAACCTCTTCTTTCTCTACTTCTGGCTTTTCTTCTGGATTGTCTATTTCCTTTAAAAGAGAGGTAATATTTAGTGTTCATAAACTCTATTAAAGAATCTCTGTTTTATTCTGGTTAGCTTTCTAGAAATAGTTCCCAGTGTTTTTTTTTTTTTTTTTTTTTTTTTTAATTTTTTTTTTATTTGACAGGTAGAGTTAGAGACAGAGAGAAAGATCTTCCTTCCGTTGGTTCACTCCCCAAATGGCCACTACGGCCAGTGCGCTGTGCTGATCTGAAGCCAGGAGCCAGGTGCTTCTTCCTGGTCTCCCATGCGGGTGCAGGGCCCAAGCACTTGGGCCATCCTCCACTGCACTCCCGGGCCACAGCAGAGAGCTGGACTGGAAGAGGAGCAACCGGGACTAGAACCTGGCGCCCATATGGGATGCTGGCGCTGCAGGTGGAGGATTAACCAAGTGAGCCACGCCGGCCCCAGTTCCTAGTGTTTTAAAACGTTATTCATTGGGGCCAGTGCTGTGGCGTACAGGCAAAGCCACCACCCACAGTGCCAGCATCCCCTGTGAGCACTGGTTTGAGTCCCAGCTGCTCGACTTCCAATCCAAATCTCTACTTCGACCTGGGAAGGTGGTGTAATGTGGTCCAAGTCCTTGGGCCCCCGCATCCGAGTGGGAGGCCTGGAGGAAGCTCCTGAGCTGCAGCTCTGGTCATTGTGGCCAGCTAAGGAGTGAGCCAGCAGATGGAGGACCTCCCCCCACCCTCACTGTGTAACGCTGACTTTCAAGTAAATAAATAAATCTTAAAAAAAAAAAAAAAAAAAGAGTTACTCATCTGAGGCCACACAGTAAACACTAATGATAATCCACTATTATTCTCTAAACTGAAACCAGGAAAGTGGCTGAAAGGCTATTCTTGATATTGTAAAAACAGAAAGAATGAATGCAAATCCACACAGTGATATAAAGGGCACTATGTGTCACTACAGCTTTTCTACAATAACATGTACAACCTGAGATCTCCTCTTTATGTAGGGGACTGACACAACAGCATCGTCGACTGACTGCAGGAAAGTACCTCGTGGTCACTCGACACAGTGATTTTTTCTGGAACTTCTTGGGGGTGCTGGTCACTCGCCTCCCCTGCAGCCTCACTCTGCTGCTCCATCTCGAGCTCCTTCCGTCGTGCTTTTCTCCGTCTGGTCTCCGCTCCGACGGTAGGCAGGCTTGCAGGAGGTGGCAGGGGCAGTTCTGCAGCATTGGGATTTCTTTTCTGTATAGGGCAGTTCCGGTTTCCTTTGTGACATGCACAGTCCACTTTGTAATTACTGTTCCAAAGAAATAACCAGAAGTACTGGGCTCAGTATGTTTGAAGATCAGTTATAGTATCTCCTCTCTTGAAATAGTCCCATAGTAATTTGCTATGGTAGTGTCTCTGAGTAGGATATTAATAAGATATCAGAGACGCCCTATGATGACTCCCAACATCCTGTGTTTCTCTGTATCTCACCAACTCTACTCCTACTTATGGTCAATGGAAAGGAAGGAAAGCCTCCACAAAATGCAATTCTCCCAACTGCTTTATGCTGTTTAGTAGGCAGTGAATTGGTGACAGTATTAAGGGGTCATACTTGCCACTGCCTATGACGCTGGCATCCGTACAAGTGCCACTTTAAATCCTGGCTGCTCTGCTTCTTGAAGTGGTCACACTTCTCTGCCCAGCATCGCCAAGTCCTCATTGCACCTACTGATTCCCTTTTCATTCATACCTGTTCTCATACTTGGGCCAGACAGATTCTAGTTTGTCCAACGGGATTAGGGAAGAAAAGTCATCTACTTTACAAAACTCATCACACAGATTCACCTATGATTCACCATCTGTTTCTCTGTATTTTCATATACAGATGGATGGTATGGTTTGCGTTCATGAGAGTGAACCTTTAATCCCCACTCAACTGCTTTTACTAAGGTATAAATGACAAAGTATTTACAATGGGAGTGAATGCTTATTTTTAAATTTTTCCTTTATTTAAACTTTTTCTTTTTGGGAGTGAATCCTTACATTCTCAGGCTCTACAGTTCAGGACACAAATGCCCTGTGCCTAGCAACATACAAATACTACCTCAACACCAGTGTTTAATTTTGTGAAACTTTTTGGCTATTCTGGCTAAGGAAGGATGAAACAAAGTATCTTTTTTTAGGGGGCTTGTGAGCATTATCACACATTGTACCTGTATATTTATAAGAAAAATCTCATCCTGGAGACAGTGCTCTAGCGCAGCAGATTAACACCTAGGTCTGAAGTGCCGGCATCCCATATGGGCGCCGGTTCAAGACCTGGCTGCTCCACTTCCATCTAACTCTCTGCTATGGCCTGGGAAAGCAGCGGAAAATGGTCCAAATCCTTGGGCTCCCGAAAATGCATGGGAGACACTGAAGAAACTCCTGGCTCCTGGATTCAGACCGGCACAACTCTGGCCACTGTAGCCAATTGGGAGTGAACCATTGGATGGAATACCCCTCTCTCTCTCTGCCTATCCTGTCTCTGTGTAACTCTAATTTCAAATAAACGAATAAATCTTTAAAAAAGAAAAATCTCATCTTTTCCTTTACACACAAACACATTACTCATGAAAATAGGGGCCAGTGCTGTGGCTCAGCGGGTTAGAGCCCTGGTGTGAAGTGCCATCATCCCATATGGGCGCTGGTTCTAGTCCTGGCTGCTCCACTTCCAATCCAGCTCTCTGCTGTGGCCTAGGAAAGCAGTAGAAGATGGCCCAAGTCCATGGGCCCCTGCACCCACATGGGAGACCCGGAAGAAGCTCCTGGCTCCTGGCTTTGGATTGGCGTGCAGCTCTGGCTGTTGTGGCCATCTAGGGAGTGAACCAGTGGATGGAAGACCTCTAACTTTGCCTCTCCTTTGCTTTCTGTTTAACTCTGGCATTCAAATAAAAAAAAAAAAATCTTAAAAAAATACGAAAAAAATAAACTAAGAAGGAAACAGCAAGGAACAAAAGCAGACTCTGAGCAGAGTTGAACAGCTTAATATGTAATTCCAAAATCTTACCAGTTACTGTACTCATAATCAAATGCTATGGTGACCTCAGCATCCTTGGTGATGGCAGACACAGCATAGATACACAGGTGAATCATCCCATCTGCAATCATGTGTCGCACCTGTACAAAGAAGGCTTATGGTTGAATTTATCCTAAAGATTACACTTTCTGTAGGAGGAAAAACACCATTTACCCAAATAATTTCTCCTTCGAATTAAGGTAGCCTGGGGCTGGTGCTGAGGTGCAGCGGGTTAACACCCTGGCCTGCAGCACCGGCATCCCATATGGGTGCTGGTTTGAGACCTGGCTGCTCCACTTCCTGTCCAGCTCTCTGCTGTGGCCTGTGAAAGCAGTAGAAGATGGCCCAACTCCTTGGGCCCCTGCACCCATGTGGGAGACCTGGAGGAAGCTCCTGGCTCCTGGCTCCGGATCGGCGCAGCTCCGGCCATCTAGGGAGTGAACCAGCGGATGGAAGACCTCTCTCTCTCTGTGCCGCTCCTCTCTCTGTGTAACTCTGACTTTCAAATAAAATAAATCTTAACAAAAAAAATTTAAGGTAGCCTGTTACTTAATATCATCTCAATTGAATTTATTAAACAGTAAGAAACTGAAATATTATGATACTTTAGAAATGTTAAAATTCAGGGTAAAAAAAAAAATCGCTGCTTTACATTTTACAGCTGATTCCAGCTCTACCACAGCATTCAGTTTCCTCAGAAAGCAAGTCAAGCTCTATGGATTTTCTTGTTGCACCTAACGTGGTGGCATGAATTTCGAATTCTAGAAATGTCCTAACACCATTTTCTGAAACCTAAGACACTGAGACTAAATAGTAAGTAGTAGCTTTGTTGGGCTTAATGACATCTTCTACCACATGCAATTTCTTTAATATAGCCCCCCAACTTCTTATTTAACCTAGTGCTTTCTCCTTAACAATTTTCACTTTTTCCCATTTCTGCCTTTTCTAAACAAAATCATTCCCTTCCACTCATCTTGTCAGTATAAAAAGCATCGTTACTTTTCTTTTTAATCTCTTGCTATTATCTACAGACCTTTGTTTAGGTGAAATTTTCAGAATCTTTCTTCAGTAAGCTGATCCTTAGGTGATTCCATTCAAAGGAAAGTTGTGACAGATATCTTACCTCTGCGTTTGGTGTACATGATCTCCTGATGAACCGAGCATCGTTACCGAAAGTACGGGCATCCACACACATCTCCACACCATTGAATTTTGAGTAGAAGAGCACAAAGGGGTATGGTCTAGGGATGTAATTAAAACTACTGTAATTCTCAACACAAATAAAAAGGCCACCCCATGCTTTCCAATATGAAGCACATGCTCACAGCAGCAGCAGCAGCCCTCGCAACGCCTACATTCGGACAGCATCAAAAGCTTGTCTGCTTGACTAAAGAACAAGCACAAAGCAAGGACCGCTTAGCTTGGGCAGGAGTCATCACCACTCTATACATTAAACAATCTGCAGATTGATGTGTACTCCTCTACTAACAGCAGACAACTCTGAGTTTATTTGAGTTACCATCTTTTCCCCAAGGGTATCCTATCAACCAGCCCGATTTTTATAGCAATACTGGTCATGTGAACCCACTTAGCCCTCACTGCTCAACGAATGATGGTCTTACTTTTTGAAGAAATGCCCATTGACCTCAAATTGCTGCCGTAACATGACTTTCCCACGATATTCTATTATGAGAGTGTCCAAAGCCAAATCTCTTGCAGCCCTCAGTATCTTCCGGTGCTTTTGAACACGAGTGACTCTTCCCAGCTGTAACTGAATAAAATCAGAGTATTAACACTGAAACAACAGCAGGAGCAGCTCAGCAGACACTGAAAGCATTTCCTAAGAGTGGCAATGACACCAAACACTTAAAATTTTATCTGTATATATTACTGAAGTTGATCCGAAAATTTTTAGAATTTGATATAAGCTCAAGTATTCCAGGAAACAAGTTCCATCTATGGAGCTTGTCACTCCAGAAAAAAACAAAAAAAACAAAAAAACAAGAAAAAAGATCAAAGTGAAACACACAATTAAGTTTCGGTGGTTCTATGTCTAGTGTAAGAATGAATGAGAGGCGCCGCTGCTGTGCTACAGCGGATAAAGCCACCGCCTGCAGTTCTGGCATCCCATATGCGTGCCAGTGTAAGACTTAGATGTTTCACTTCTGAGCTAGCTCTCTGCTATGACCTGGGAAAGCAGTAGAAGATGGCCCAAATGCTTGGGCCCTGCACCCACGTGGGAGACCCGGAAGAAGCTCTTGGCTTCTGGCTTCAGAATGGCCCAGCTCTGGCCACTGCAGCCATCTGGGGAGGGAACCAGTAGATTGAAGACCTGTTTCTCTCTCTGCCTCTGACTACCTATAACTACGACTTTCAAATTAAAAAAAAAAAAAAAAAAAAAAAAGAACAAGTTTAACTTTCCATAAATCTGACATAATTCCTATCTAGATTTTATAAAAGTTCCCATTCTAATTCATCCATTTCTGATTAACAAAAACAGCTTAAAAATACATATCCAGATCATTTCCAGCTAACACAACCTGCACTGGATGAAGATGATCAACAGTTAGCTGATTTGTTACTCTAAGGTTTTGTGTGTTCAGAAGAAACAGGAATCCCAACTAATGTCTTCTTGGGTCCTTAAAAATCTCAACTTACAGCCTTTAACCCTTTGGTCCTTACCTGCATTTGGGAACCGATCACTGTATTATTACAGGCCAGTTCAGTCTTATTAATAGTGTCTAAAATAGCAGGTTTGCCCACGAACTCCTTGCTAGAATGTAGATGTTGTTCAAGGGCGTTCTGTACATCTGCACTGTACTGATTAGTAAAAGCTTCTTCATACTGATCAGTCCATAGTCTTATCCGGTTTTCCCAGCCCTCAGTTGTATTCTCATCTAAATTCTGTGCTTCAGAGGGAGAATTCTGTAGAGAACAAAGGTGAGACACGTTAGTAAAGCCCAAGCATAAAAATATGAGTGGGCATGGGTAAAGTCCAGAGAAAAATTTTCACTTGGCAGATGGTGTGGCTTACGAGTAATGGACTGGGAGTCAGGGGATCTGGCTTCTGCCACGGCTTTGTCCCAACAAGCTGTGAGAAGCATCAGCTTGCCCCACTTAGAAAGTGAAAAATTAATCTGGATCACGGTTCAATCCCACCACTTTGATTTTGTGACCACTTTTAAGTCATAAAATCAACTGTGTTCTTATCAAAAGACTGGCAAGTTCATCAGAAATTTTGGATTAAAAATGAACAAAAATACGTCAAATTATCACAGTTAAAATTTTCAACACTTATTGAACATGTCCATTTGTGTGGCAGCCCAACCTGGTTTGTTATACTGTTTTCCAGGAGAATAATTTTGCTTCTGTGTCATTTACTACTTTCATTATACAATGAATACATGTTCACTTTAAATAAACATGTAACCACAATCAATTATAATCTTACCACCTACAGTATCTCTTCTTGTGACTAATTTATAGCCATTTTCAACAATCTGAAAAGGTGAAGTATGGAGAGGGGAGTGGGCAGGAAGAACAGAAAACTTCCAAGAGGTATTCTGCTATAGTCCTCTAGGAAAACCACTGCCCCCATGATGACAGTACTGAGAGAAGATTATTCTGTCTTACCATCAGCATCCTCAATAGTTTCAGGTACGCATTAACTAGAGACAAAGCTTATGCCTGTCACACGTCCTCCTCTATGATGTTCCAAACCTCAGTGTCATCAGAAAACAACCAGCCAACCACAGCTAATGATGATGTCAAGCTACTGAAGATTAGAAGGAAAAGACACTACAGTACTTGAAACAAGACATTGTAGTTACTTGAAAACTCCATGTCCACACTACATTTCCAATAACAAGCAAATAAAACTCAATACATTTTCCATGACTAGTGCAGAATACACTAAAGTCTACTGTAATAACTACTTTCACCACTTTTTTTGATCACCACTATTGATTAACTGCTGCCTACCATCCTTTCCCTACGAACAAGGAAGAAAAAAAATTAACACCATAGTTTTCTACGTTTTTCACTAGAGTTCAAAAGAATGAATGCTGATCTAAGAAACACCCAAGGCCAACATACAACTGCATTTCCACCTGCTTGACCTTGTCAGGAGCAGATAAATAAAGAGTGCAAAACCTGAGACTCAAAGGCGCTTAAGACTGGGGACTTGGGGTGCCCACAATGTGCCAAGCTTTGAGCATTCAATGGTGACTGCTGAACTTATGACTGGTTTAAGTTACGTCTTTTGGAAGCCTTTGCCACCATAACAGCCATGGTTCACTAATCTGTGCTTGCTCGCTCTCTCATCCTTCAGGTCTTCACTTCTCAGTAGATTTTGGGCAGTGGATCATCTAGGCAAATTTTGCTCTCAGAAGACTTTTGGTGACGTCTGAATGCACTCTGATGATTATAAATAGGTGTGTCTTTCTGTGTTTTCCTGGCACCTAGTGGGTAAACATTAGGGAGGCTGCTAAACATCTTACAATGCAAACAACAGCCTCCATCATTAAGAATTACTTGTTCCAAAATGTTGAAGGTTGAGAAACACTGGTTTAGAGTCTCTAATAAGAAAAGCTCTTGACTGTAAACCCAAATGATAATTCTTGTGGCTCAAGCTTAGATCTTTGGTGGAGTTCTCACTAGTAATTCTGAGCACAAAATTTGTAACTCAACTTAGAATTATGAAATAATCACTTGGCAGGCCTCTCATGCCTCAAGGGTTCTGAGACCTCTCTCATCTCTTTAATAGGCAGACCCAAGGTAAGGGCACCCAACTTTAGACAAAATGCTACCTGTAATCCTTGATAACATCATTCATATTGGTGTTTCACACAAATATAATCCTAATAGAGCTTATGCTCACTTTATATTCTGATGTTTGTATCTTTAACTGCCAACAGGAAAGAACTTGGTCTTACACCAATTACACCTTTACAGATATGAATACTTATAGAATGAAACCAGAGTTTAGTTTTAATTAAATGTTCTGAAACATAAGTAGTGATTTGGGAGTATGCTATCCTCTTATGTATACACAGGTAAAGGAAGATACTAGACAGTATAATCCAATGTGATTTCAACAAACTGTTATCAACCATTACCTAAAATTGCGTTTAAACCATCACACCTAATTTCTCTATTCTTCAACCTTTTTAAAAAATCATACCTCATAAACTCTTATTGGAAAACAAAGCCACAATAACATCACCTGAGTCTTCTCTACCAAATAGACATGCCAAGAGAAAACAGTAAGTAATTCCACGAAGAGTAATTCCTATCAATAACACAATGTTCCTGCTAATGAGATTTACCCTTTCAACTGGTGATTAAAGCTGACATGGGCTGGGGTGGGTGCACAAGACTTCTTGCCTGCATCATCACCAGGAATCCCTCACTCCTGCGGTTGAGCCCACTCACAGTGACAGAACACGGTCACCCTCACAGTGTTTGGCAAAAAGTCACTTACCCCCAGAAAAGCGGTTAACAACAACAACAACAACAAAACTCAATAAACAAAGGCTGATTTAAAGAAAGTGAAAATATTTCAGAAAATGGCTGAGAAAATCTAACTTTGCAGAAAAGCTCTATAAAAACTGAGTGGCCACAATTACAAACTAATGAAAAGCAGACTCCAAGATTCCCAGACCATCATTGTCAGGAAAGAAGCCGACCAAAATGCAAGACCACAGTGAAGTAAAACACAGCATCAGGGAAGAGTACCCCTTACCTTCATCCGCAAGGACTTCCGGGATCCCTCTCGAAATGCCTATCCCAAAGAGGAAAACAAGTAGAACAAAACAAAACTTGGTACCAAGAATGACAGTTATACCTGAGACTAAAACTAAGGCTCGAACTAGTGTTCTACTTTGTCCCCTTTTCTCTAGGTAACAAATACAATGGGATTCCCCAATTATCAAGAATACAAGGACAATGAACTCTGAGGCTAAGTCAAATACATTCTATTAACAGGGAAGCACATGCATCACTTAAATCCTACATGCACCCCGGACAGTAAGAGAAAAAGTTCATAAAAACTTTAAGCTGCAGATTTAACAGTTGTGAATTAAGAAGGAAACAAAGACCAATCCCCTTAACAAGGGGTGGGCAAGTCACCTAGGAGCAACAAAGTTGCTATGATGGGGAAGAAAGAACACACAACAGAAGAGCTTTCTCCCAGAGACTTTGCAGTTCAGAATACAGGAAGTAGTAACCATGACAATGAGGAAGACTAGACCATTCAAGATATTGTTCTTGATTTTTTTTTTAAACAAGCACAAACAATCCAACAATATGAGGTGGGCATGTAACCATGAGAAGAACTTCAGACTGTGCTTTGGGGCTGAGAGGTGGGCAGATATTATAAGGATAGTGGAAGCCTAGACTTGACGCTGCAACACCTATGAGCCTGTGCCAGGTATGGGTGGAATTTCATACCTGGGATGGGGGCTGGAATAGAAGAAGCTTAGAGTCCCTGCTGATGGTATGATGTGGCTGAAGAAAGGCTGGTTGCTATGTACATATACCTTGTTTTTACAAGTAGAGCAAAAGTGGCCCCTCAAACATCTGCATCAACCTTCTTACAAAAACCTTGGTGTATTCTTGCTCCAAAATTTGAGCTCCATTTAAGATATTTTTTCACCCTCCATACCTTGATTTTCTTCGTCTTTGGTGCTGCACGGCCCTTTTCTGGACTCTTTTTCCGCTTCTTGGGTTTGGTTCTTCTAACAGTTAAGGTGATACTTGTAGGTGTGTGCTGTGTTGCTGTATACAACACAGTGGAAGGAGAAAGCTCCTCATCCCAGCTTTCTGTTGCACTGCTATCCCCACCTGAAAAAGGGTGGTTTTGTAGTTTAAGTACTAAAAGCCTCAAAAACGCACTAAAAGCAGCTTTTTCCTTTGGATGTACCCAACATCTGGAAGGGCAGTACTTATATTAATTCTATCACCTGTTAGGATAAACACATATCTTATGTGTTTATCTCTTATCATTGGCATCAAGCATATAAATCCTACTGCACACCCTATCTATTTTTTCCCTTATCTTTAATCCCCAAGCTCCAGGGCCTCAAACTCTAGCAATCTGAGACAGTATTATTTAATGGATCCCTTTTGTTTGTGTGCTTCCAAGAAATATTTCAATTGCTACAAGCCTATAATGTGTTTCCAGACATGTTTAACTCCCAAGGAGAGAACTACCTAGTGGTCTTCAATGGACTTCTCTTTGGTTCTGTGAAAAGAACTGGAACCATGGAAACTTCAAGGGGGTTCTTGAGAAGGACAGGATAGTCAGAGAATATTTACACATCCGAATGTGGGCCCAACTTGTCCTCCACTCACCTGATATGTTGTCCTGCTTCCGCCGATGAAGTCTAATAACCTTCCCCCTGCTCATTCCCCTAAAGAGGGAAAATAAACTTAAAGTAGTCCTTCCAACAAAAGGCAGCACATCATAGCACACATGGGAGAAGTGTCTCTGCATACACTACCCCTCCCTCCCACCTACCAAATGTTTCCAGGATATTAAATTTCATATCAAATTCAATAGCTTTAACATCAATCTCTCATTCCTTGTTGTCAGCAATTCTCACCTAGTGCAGAGAATTCGAGCCAAGGAGCACTAAGGAATCATCTACATTAACAAACACAAGAAAGAATACTTTGAGCTTTTCCCCACTAATGAGAAACCCTAATCCCAGCAACCCAGGCTTGGATTTAGATGGAACAGGATCTTACCTGCACTTGTCACAGCTGAGAAGGAAGCCATCCTGAGAAAGACCACAAGGACACCAGGTAGGAACAGTCTCTCCTTCAGAGTTCGGGCTGTCTCCACAGCGTTCCTCTACGGGCGACGGCAGGCCATTCAGGTCAGAACGAGGGATGATCGTCTGGACAGGGGGAGAAGCAGGAGGTGTCGGAGGAGGAGGGGCTCCGTAATTATGATCCTGAAAATAAGATTTTTTAAATCAACAGTGTCCAAACACTGGCCCCTCTCTCCCCTAAAGTATGGTACATATGGAAAGAAAGAAGAAAGTAGTACCCTTCGTTTTTTGGCTTCAACCAGGAAAGTGATAAAACAAAATGCCAAGGTCAACTGGGACATAAAAACAAGAACAATGATGCAGGGCTAGACGTCCGCTGGAGGCAGGGAAGTGCAAAAGGGGCAACTTCATCATGCTGCATATAAACATTTCAAGAAAGTCACAATGTATAAGAATGGATTACACTCCAGGAAGATCACTGCTCTGGAGAGAAACAAATGCATACTCACAGCATAAGGCAGTCCTCGACACCCATGCCTCTGAGTGGTCCCATAATTATGAGTGGAATACACGCTCTTCTCATTAACTGCTGGACTAGCCTCCACAGATTCAGGGCTGCACAAAGGCGAAAAGCAATGCATGATAGCATAACACCTAATCTTCCCTTAAACTGGCACCTCACTTCCCAGTCTAATCCCTCTGCTTTCCAAAACCACTAGCTACTGAAATTACAGAAAGAACTCAGTGAAACAATCTGATTAACATAACTAAGCCTATAAATAACAGTAGGAGTGTTACTGAGTGTGGATTTGTGTGTAACATGAAGCCAGTATAGGCAGCTATCTCAAGGCAGGCACCTGAGACACAAGGTGTCCCTAATGACGAACATAAACGTACCAGCTGAGCAGGGAGTTTCCCCTAGAGAAGCCACTCTGGGCTGGTTTAGACTCAGAACTATTCTTCTTAATTGGATCTCTTAATACTTCCATGAAACCTCACATGACATTTGCAGTGAGTGAGATGATGAAAGTGCCTTCTGCACTGCCCCAGGGACCAGGCCCTCTTCCATTCACTACCAAGACAGGATACCCTGAAGAAAGTACAGGTAAAAACAACGGCATCTTATATTTATCACACCTCTCATCTTGACGAACCCCCAGACACCTTTCAGATATCAGAGCAGTAATTTCTCATCCACCAGAGACATGCAAGCATATCAAGGACACAATTATTTAACAGCTGCATGATAATACCACAGATATTTAAAATAACAAAACCAAACTGTTACATTAGTCTATTAACAAATAATAGTAGTGGCAACCATTCTGAATCACCCTATCTGGGAGGTGCTTCACAAATCTATATAAATTTAATTAACTTTTGCAACCACTCAATATGGTAAGTAGCACATTTTGACAGAGAGGGAAGCTAAGGTAGTGAGATTATGTGACTTCCCCAAGGAACACACCGACAAAGCCAGGATTTGAAACACCTGCCTGATTCCAAAGCCAATGCCCTCTCCACTATGCCCCACATGGAAACCAGGCTAACATTCTACCTAATTTAAAGCAAACTGAGACCTCATTAACCAGGCATAGTGAGTATCTTTTTATATCCTCCTTGGATGAAAAATTAAATATTCAAGTGCAATGTATTATAGAAGTATTGTAAGTACATTCCAGTTTAGAAATGTGATGTAAGTTTTTACTTAATAATAAAAAGACAGGTGGCAAGGATAAATTCACATTTTTGAGAAAGAAGGATTGTTTCCTGGCTAGGTTTGGGGGAAATTTTGAAGGAGACAATTAGGGAACAGATTTGTATGATTTGGTAGAACTAAATAATCAATTATCTATATTTTATATTAATCACAACAGATTCATAAATTAGAAACTCCAAGGACTAGTATAACTCAAACTTAAGAGACTGATGAGTCTTTTATGAGTCAAATAATAAAACATTTTTCCTGCTTGAAGATACAGAAATTATATAGTACTTAGCAGGAAGAGTGCAGTTCACATGGCACAATGTCAGCTGAGAAGTGATATGTATCCAACTCACCCAGTTATATGCTCCAAAACTGTGAGGAGGGATCATATTAATAACAGCAAAGGTAATTTCTAGGTGAAGAAGAACTTTAGACACAGGAAAGTATTCTCTGTTAGTGAAGTGCATGCATTTTATTACTTAACAGTGTCTGCAGGATGGGAACTGGGCGAGGGGGCAGGGAAGGGCATCAAGAATGCAGATCAGTATTCTTGACAAAAAGATGGTCTGAACATGGCCCACTGAGAGGCAATCAACTCTGAATATTAGGAAACAGGTGGAGTTTCCTAAATGAACCGAAGGCATACAAGCATTAATAAAATGAAGATAGAATTTAGTTTCTACGATGGACAGTTAAAACAACGTAATGAATTTCTATGACATACTGAATTTACTAGGTACATTACTAGATAAATAAGTACATTCCAAAGAGCTGTATATATTTTACATAGGAGATTTTGTACCACTGAACACATAGGGTGAAACATGACAGTGTTTATTAGGAATGGAATTTTTTGGGGAGTGGGGACAGAAAAAAAAGTTGTATGAAATAAAAGATGGCCATGGAGATGGAGCTATGTTGGTTATATCTTACCCATCTCCAAACTGGGTAAATATGAACATATGCACTTCATGTGCAAGTCTAGGGAATAAAAATAAAATGTATAGTGTGGAGGTTAACAGGCCATCCCACTGCACAATACTTTCTACCTCAAGCACAGCATTTAATAGACTGCTATGCATGCCAAATCTAAAATCACCAGATGCTTTCAGGTGGCTACAGGATTTCTCAGAATATTCCTTGACAAACATGAATTCTTACCTATGTTTTGAAATACGGATGGATTAAAAATTTGGGATATCAGGATTGCATCTCTTTATTAGCCAAACATTTTATGCAAATATAATTGCAGCCTTTCTTCTGATTCAACTCTTAAGAGAGGTCGGGCACACCCACAAAAGCCAGAATCACAACAGACTCCAATCTGCTGTGATGCCACCTTTGTAAAAAAGTTGGAAGGGCATAATATTCTTTGTTTCTTCTGTTATATCTACAAACATGTGAAATAAAATGCACACTGCATATTGTTGCCATTTAAAATGAGGTAAGGTCTAGGTCTCTGACTTAGTTGAGTCTGCTGCTTTTAATACCAGGTTTAACCTTTGAGTGCCTTACAACAGTGAAATCACACATGCTTCATCATTAATAATTTAACAGAATGGTACTTAATCTAATTATTGACATCCTCTCCCTTTGCAATAACACTAACAACTGTGTAATGTGTTGGGACCACAGTCTCAGGAATCTATCTGTAGATTAAGGATAACAATGTTGCGGGAAATCCTAGGATAAGCTGCTATTAATTGGGCCACTGCAGTGAGATGTGTATGTTTGTTTCTACAATCATACCTAAATTCCCTAAAAGTATTTATGTGTAGTTATCTCATCCATTCTGGGGGGTATACTAGTTATAAAAATAACTGCCTTGAGTCTTTTTCTTATCCACTAATTCCAGCTCACTGGTTAATCTCTTTGCTGACCATTTCTCACAAATGTTAATGTTGTCTATATAGTTTGTTAGTCAACCCATACAGAAGCAGGTTAGTAGCTGATCATCTTATAAAAACCACTACACAACTGGGCTATCTTATCGACTAATACAAAAAATTTAAGTTATTTGAAGAAACAGCTATGAAACAATTTTAAAATTCGAAGTTCCAGCCATCCGCATAACTAAATCTGTGTGGCATGCAAAAACAAAAAACCAAAACAACCCAAAAAAAAAACCCCCCAACAAACCTCTACAAGAAACACATTCCCCAACCCCACCCACTTCTTTTTTATATAGGAATAAGCTTGAACGCTGCTTTCAATTCTAGGCTACCCAGAATATGATCTACTACTTTATCAGGGTAGCTATATTTTATTTCCTCTTTAAGAAATTTAAAACAGTAAATTACACAAAACAAACACGCATGCCCTTTAATAATATTCTATGTTAAAGAAGAAAATCACTATTAATCAGGGCTGCCATTCCACCCAGAATTCTAATACAGTTGCTTTGCTTTGCTAAATGGGGAAGAATCCCCAGGGACCATGAAACTGGCAAGAGAAACAGGGGAATTAGAGCAACACCCACCTCACTCAAGAAGTGGCTGTGGGATCAAGAGTCTGAACTGGACCTGAACATATTCAAAACACCAGGATTTTTCCAGCCCAGACCCTAATCCCTGGTACTGCCTGGAATAGACTTGGCTTCTGGGGGTGTGCTGCCCCCTAGGCCCCTTGGGTCTCTTTCGCTGGACTTTCACATCCTGGTGTAGTGCCACTTCGTCTTGAAAGGTAGGGGGCTTCCACTTCCTTTCTGTAAGCAAGGAAGATTGGGTACAAGGGAGGTAAAAGGACAAGAGGGGGAATCTGTGAGCAGGGGGATCTCGGACAACTTAAAAGAGAAGGGGTACAAAAAGCTAAAAATTTCAAAACTGTGAATAATATATAAAGTTGTATAATGAAGGCCTACCTTCATTGTCATTGTCATTTAAATTCTTCAAGAACTGAGAGTCTATTTTAGGGATTGGGCTTTTCGACAAACTCTGAATTCCTAAAGCTGCTCTTAGCTGAAAAAAAAGTTTGGTACCACTGATTTTGAAGGTCCTCTTTCTAGCTAATGAGTGTCATAAAAAACCAGAGGATACTGCTCTCCAAATTTCTACCCCAAATGTCAGAAGGTTTAGGCAACCTGCCCACATTGCAGCCCATTTATTCTAGAACAATGGAAGTACATAGGAAGAGGCCTTCAAGGAAAATCAGTTGGAAAGAACACTTCCTTATCTCCCTCTACCAGAATAATCATTAACTCTACAAAAGCAGGCAATGATACCTACTTTATTTCAATCTCCCCCACCCATCAAAACAAATGAAAATGTAATCATCATGTAATTTTCATTCTTTTAATTATTTACCCAGAAACCTTTCCCTAAAAGCTCCTTTCCTTCCCCATCTAATTCCTTTTTTCCTCCAGCTTCTATGGGGAGAAAATGGAAGGAGCTAATGCCATTTACAGTGGGACAGGCCTTGGTTAAGAATATATTAAACATCTCATTAGCTAGCTCCCCACAGGCAAACTGTCTCCACACCAACTGGTAATGTACCTGTCACCCTAGGAAGCAGCACTTACTCTGACCCAGCAGCCATATCTGAGTAGGATGTATCTGGTGTGGTGACTCCCAGAGGGATTGCAATGCTCATGTCGTCCAACACAGCAGAAAGTGGAAATCACGGGGTCCAATTAATGGAGACTGACCACTCTGAGAGTGGGGGTGAGCTGCAGAGCCTCGGCCAACATGTTACGGACATGAGGAATCCTGTCACAAAAATGACAACATCTGGTAACCAGAGAATTCTTTAAACTTACCAGAAATGCTACTGAATATTTTTTTCTTTCTCTGAACAAGGATTTTAAGGGATATTTACAAAACAGGCATAGGGTAGGCTCTCCAAATTGTCCTGTATTTATTACATACTGTAGTTCATCAATTTTCCATAAAGTGGCAAACTACTTTAACTTCTATTTTTTTTTCTTTTCAAAGAGAAAAATAGTCTGACCAACTCACTGATAAGCATCTCCATTCTGTTATTACCCATTAAACAAAATTTTCTGGCAGCCTAAGATACTTTTTATTTATTATCAGAAATATCCTTGTTTTAACTGAACTCTTTGACAATTCAAGGTTTTTTTCCTAGGCCACAAACAAATGGCAGTTTTACCAGTAGTTTTACCTCTTCAAATATGATAAAAGAGACCAATTTGTTGTTTATATTTGACTGGATATAGCTAATTCTTAAATGCCTTCTTTTGCCAGAGAATACTGTTCCTTATTTTAAATTATTTTAACTGTTAATCGGGGGGAGGGGGGGATGCAATTATCTTAAACTGTAATTATGAGGTAATATCAACAATGCTAGATATGAATGAAAACGTAAGCTATGGGGAAGGCCAATATAGGTAGGTACAGAAGTACATAAAAAATCTCTGAACCCTCTATTCAACTCTGCTGTAAACCTACAAATGCCCTAAAAAAAAATAAAAAGAAACAACCTGAATCAGGGTACAGTTTCATGATAAAGATTTGAGAATTTGTAAAGAAAAGTAGTGAGTGATTTGCTAACAGTAAACAAGTGGAATTTGGGAAGAGAAAGACACACAAACTACCAAAGAGTTAAAAAGGAAAAATAGGGGGAGCCATGGAGTTACTCATATTTTATACTGTAGTGCCTGGATTCAATGGCTGGTTCTGGCTTCTGATTCCAGTTTCCTGCTAACACAGACCCTAGGAGACTTTTGCCACTGGGATCCTGCCACCTCTAGCTTTGCCTGTTGGCATTTGGGGAGTGAATAACCAGATGGGAGTTCTCTGCCTCTCAAATAAAATAAAATAAATAAATATATAGTAAACGAACAGATTCGAGAGCATGGTACACAGAGAACGGTGTACTCTAAATGATTTTACAGTACTGTATTTACCTAAACATAAAAAATCCATTGAAAAGATAAAACAAGAATTTTATGTTGGGACAGAAGAAAGTCAGTGTGACTGCTAAACACCCAGGGCTAATAATGATTTTTTTAAAAAAGACTACAAAGAATCATGACTGATATACTGCCTCATGATCAGACAAATTAGACAGCATAAAATGCAATTTTAACACTAAAAATGTTAAATGGAATCAAAAGTACACAACATCAATTGACCCAATCCAGTCAGTTAATAATACAGATTTCAAGTAGTAGATGGTTTGAAATGCTTCAATCTATTTTGATGGATGAAGCAGATAAATGTGGATAAGAAAATTAACTGTGAATGGAGAGTCAGGCCAAGATTTTTAAGAACACATAAAGATAACACTATTTTTGAGTTTTTTTTTTTTTTTTAAAGAATGTTGGAACAGTTAAAAAATCAAACAGTTCTCCCTGATCATTCAGTCTTTGAAAGAGCTGACTCTCACCAAGTGACCCAGGCTTCTCCAACTGTAAGTGTGGCAATATATCTGTTGCTACCCAACTGTTGACAGCACTGGGGACTGAAACATAAAGCAGGTCCAGTCCTCCTTCAATCTGCTTCCTTACAGCTCATAAAAGAGAAGGGACTGATCCACTTTTCTGCCTTTGGGTCAATCTTACCCATAAAAGATTCTTTTCTCTAACAATATGTCCAAATGGAGATTTGGTAGTACATCCTCCAAGCCCTTGGGAAACTGATATAAAATGTGCAAATAACAGAACAAAGGTCACTTATCAAATAAACCCAAAAAGCAGTTAAATACTGGAGGTGGCTGGTGATTAACTCTCTAATTTTAACATCACTGCATAATACAGATTAAAACACATGGGAGGGTGAATCCCCAAACCTCAGAAGCTGCCTCACTGGATAACCACCAAACCATTCCTCATCAGTAAATGGAATCTGAATTATGTGTTCTATTTGTGTAAAAATATTTACTTATTCAAAAGGCAGAATGACAAACAAACATTTACAGAGAGGGAGAGAGATCTAACTACCAATCATTCCCAAAATGGCCACAACAATCAGGGCTAGGCCAGGCTGCAGTCAGGAGCTAGGAACTTCATCCAGGTCTCCTACATGAATGGTAGGAACTGAAGTACTGAGCCATCATCTGCTGCCTTCCAGGGTGTATTAGTACAAAGTTGAAACCAAAGTGTGGAGTAGTGGGTACTCAAAACAATCAGAATCAGCAGACAAAGGACGTGGAGTTTTAAGTGGCAGCAACATACTGAACCACCACGTGGGCCCATGAGCTGTGTTTTATTTTCAGGAAAGGGCATTAAAAAAAAAAAAAGTTACTCCCAACAAACCCTCTGTTACAGCCCACTATTATGTGCATGTAAAGATAAAAGACAACATATAAACCCTAAACCGATAACTGGTATTTTTTCTGACAATAAATTTTTGCAAGACATGCTGTAAGAGAAAAAGGAAAAGTTAATTTCTACATTTCCTAAAGAAATTCCAATCAGCTATTTCAGATGGCTGACAAGTAACTTTTAAGAAACATTAAGTAGTTAACTATGAGTAACTTTCATAAATTCTTTCATTGTCCCTTTTTCCAGCTTTATATAACCCTTCTATTTACTAATCTATTTGTTTTGAAAATCAGAGTTACAGAGCGAAGGAGAGGTCTTCCATCTGCTGGTTCATTCCCTAGATGGCTGCAATAGCCAGGGATGGTCCAGGCCCAAACCAGGAGCCCCAAGCCTCATCTGGGTCTCCTAGGTGGGCAGCAGGGGCCTAAGCATTTGGGCCACCCTCTGCTGCTTCTCCTAGGCCACTAGCAGGGAGCTAGACTGGAAGCAGAACAGCTGGAACTCAAATCAGTGTGCCCATATGGGATACTGGCACTGTAGGTGGAGGCTTTACCTGTTATACCCGAACACCAGCCTCAACCCTTCTCTTTTGATGAAGGCAATCATAACAGGTTACCATGGCCATTTCATTCTAAATCATGCTTCATAATATTGAGGCTTCTTAATTCCATTTCTGACAAAAACCTCAAATTTCTCATATAACCCTGAGAATAGCTCCTTCCCTAAACAATTCTTGGAAAAATGTAGCTATTAATGTGTTAACTGTAGAATTTTTTTTAAAAGTTTTTTTACTTTAAAGAGTTACAGAGACAGAGACAGAAGGGGGGGGGGTGTCTTCCATCTGTTGGTTCACTCCCCAAAGTGCCACAATGGCCAGAGCTGAGCTGATCTGAAGCCAGGAGCCTGGAGCTTCTTCCAGATAGGTGCCATCCTTCCCACTGCTTTCCCAGGCCCATCAGCAGGGAGCTGGATCCGAAGTGGAGCAGCCAGGACTCGAATCAGCTCTCACATGGGATGCTGCCAATGCAGGTCAGGGTTTTAACTTGCTGTGCCACAATGCCATACTCTGCATAGATCATTTTATAGATGACTTATATCCAAGATTTGTCTTCTTTCTTTGAAAATTTACTTAAATATTTATTTATTTCAAAGAGTTACAGAGAGGAAGGGGGAGAAATAGAGATCTTCCACCTGTTGGTACACTCCCCAGATGACCGCCAACAGCCAGGACTGGGGCAAGACAAAGCCAAGAGCTTCATCCAGGTCTCCCACAGAGTGGCAGGGGCCCAAACACCTGGGCCATCTTCTGCTGCTTTTCTCAGGCCACAAGCAGGGAGTTGGATGGGAAGTGAAGCAGCCATGAACTGTTTCCCATATGCGATGCGGCATCACCTTAACTCACTATGCAGGGTTCCAAATTTATTTAATTGAAAGGCAGAATTACAGTGAGAGACACATACAAAACAGAAAAGGCTTATTCCCCAAATGTCTGCTACCATCGAGGCTGGGCCAAGGTGAATCCAAGAGCCCAGAACTCCACCCAGGTCTCCCATTTGGGTAGCAGGGCCACTTGGGCCAACTGCTGCTGCTTTCCCAGGTGCATTAGCAAGGAGCCAGATCAGAAGCAAAGCAGCCATGACTTAAATGGGTGTTCACATGGGATGCTGGCATTGCAGGCAGCAGTTTAATTCACTGAGCCATAACACCTCACAAAATTTTCTTAATAGTTTTATCAACTAAACAACAGACTCCTTGGTATAGTTTACCAAGTCAAGTAGTTACAGTAGTTTATAACTTCTGTTTGGAGAAGCGTGCTCAAGAGATTAAGAATTAACTCTTTCTCTAGGTAGAACAATTTCCAAGATAAATTTTCACTGTTACTTTGTCTCTTCCTACCAGAATATAATCTTTTGAGAGGAACAAGGATTTTGGTCTGTTTTATCTACTACTGTAGTTCCTCCATCTCACCAGAATAAAGCCTGACAGAGAAATATCTGCTGAATGAATTATGATCACCTCTGTTAACAACATGATTTCAGGTTATTAAAATGCAAAAAAAACCCCACCAGGAATTAAAAGGATTTATTTGAGCCAGTCACCTTTATATAGACCTCTGATAGGAAGTCCCCCCAAATTATCTGCCAGTAGCTCTGAAGACCTAGAAAAAGTTGAGACATGAATTAGCATGGTAAACTATCGCACTGATGGACACAGATTAGAAGTCTACCGATACATTCACTGAAATTGTTTCATTTATGCATCATATACTGCCTTTTTTAGCATTCTATGTTCTATCTGATACTAAATTTTTGTTCTGTAACCTTCATATCTTATTCTCCAATAAAATCAGAAACAAAATAAAAGGTGAGGGAGGAAATGTCTGAATTAAGAAGTGGTAAATACTACAACACTGACCACTTATTCTCTCCTTCAAATTAGAATTCTTGCCCATTTTCCAAGGGATTCTTTTTTCTCTCTCCTAAGAGGTGCCCCTCTTCTCTACTGAACTTCTGACATTTAGAGGCATTTCTTTCACTGAATGTTAAATTTACTTGTTAGACAAGTGCCTACTAACAGCTATTAAATTACAAGTTCATATTCTTTCTTTTTCCTCATCACAATCCTTTTTATCCTCTTAGCCTATACAACTTATAAAAGTGAGTCAGTTCTATTTGTGGTCCATTTCATAATGGAAAATATGGTGAGATGTGCAGCTTTAATTAACTTTCTAGTCTCTAAAAGTAAATGAAAATAGAATACTCAGGATTTTGGCCGGCGCCGCGGCTCACTAGGCTAATCTTCCGCCTAGCGGCGCCGGCACACCGGGTTCTAGTCCCGGTCGGGGCGCCGGATTCTGTCCCGGTTGCCCCTCTTCCAGGCCAGCTCTCTGCTGTGGCCAGGGAGTGCAGTGGAGGATGGCCCAGGTGCTTGGGCCCTGCATCCCATGGGAGACCAGGAAAAGCACCTGGCTCCTGGCTCCTGCCATCGGATCAGCGCGGTGCGCCGGCCGCGACGGCCATTGGAGGGTGAACCAACGGCAAAGGAAGACCTTTCTCTCTGTCTCTCTCTCTCACTGTCCACTCTGTCAAAAAAAAAAAAAAAAAAAAAAGAATACTCAGGATTTTTTGAGGAAAATGTTCGCCTTAGTTTCTTAGTTTTCTCCAACAAGTCAAATTTAACATTAGCCACATTAAGTTATCAACACATGGAATGCTAATATATAATAAACATGACAAGCTGTTCATGGAATCCCAGTTGCAAAGTAGTCAAGTACATGAAATTTAAGCTGATGTTTTTGTGGCTTTCTTCCAACTTTTAAAAAGCTGGAAAATAAACTATTCTTAAAAAAAAAAAAAAAACTAAAAATTTCTAAAAACAGAATGTACACAAAAGTGCTAGTAAAAGGAAGAAAACCAAGGAACAGATTTTATTTTAGCATCAGCAAAAAAGTTAAGTACAAGCATACATACAACAGGAGTAAAATGAATGTAATATTCAATCTGATCAGTTTAACCATTAAAAGAACAATCTATTAGAATCAACAGGAACACCAAAAAGTTGTTGGATTCAGGATCAGAACCAGTCTGTACTCTGTTTTCAGCTACCATGTAACCTTTTGAGGTGTCACCATTTATAAGCAGTTTCCATGGAAAAGGACGTTAAAGAGAGCATGCCAGGAATGATGTATCATTATCCTATCTTTTCAACTGGAATCGGAAATTGTCAGTAGTTTCTGACCATCCTGACGGTCTCTTCCCTATATAAACCGCAAAACACCCAAGACTTGTGTGATCTGTTTGGTTACTCTCAAAGAAGACAAACAAAAAATGTTTTAAGAACAATTCCAAAGAGATTTCAGAAGAAATTGCATCAGACAGGTGAGCCGGAAGCAGCTGGGAGACAAGAGTCCAATAAACAACCAATCCAATGAAAGAAATTTAGAACAAGCCAGCTTCAGTAATACTGCGAAGAGGACTGGCAGGAAGAGGAGTGCCAGCGCAGAAAAGAGAACAGGCCTCACATGCTTCAGACAGTCTTTGTACTGACGCTGTGGACCTTGGCCATTCTCCCAGAAATGATGCAATCCTGATGAACAAGATCTGCTGCCAGAGAAACAATTGTTAACAGCCTATGCAGACAGCAGCCCAGCCAAGAAGCCATCTCTGATCAAGACTCACCATAAACCACCACAATGTTAAATCACTTCTTCAGTTTCATACATTTAGATGCACAAGCCATTTTCTCAAGTTGTCCTTTTTCTTTTAATATCTTTGACTTTATAATCCCCATCATTCATTATTAAATTTTAAATAAAACACTGAGCATTTTTACTTATGAGTATAATTCAAGCATACTGACAACAGATATTTACACTGAAAATTGACATTTATATTCCTCACTCCCCTAAGAAAACCTTCAGGGAAGTAGTAGCTTCCCTATGTGTGAAAATTACCCTGGAATCTAGCACCCAAAGACTTCAAAGCATAAAGAGGCATACTCTATGGTTAAGGGACAGAAAAGTTCATTTCACAGATCTTTGAAACCATGTAAAATGCAGTATGTTACATTTTGTTGTACATTTAAGTTGAATTGTTTAAATACTTCTTCAATTTCTTTTGGATTACTACACAAACAGTAAAAAGGGGAACGGGAAAATAATATTAAAGGTTTTCTTTTGTGTGATAACTTACTTTGAACTTAATTTTCAAATCACAGGACAGTTTAAGAAGCAGTCAGTATATGGCACTTTACCTCTATGACCAGCCTGTTTGAGAACTAATGTGTCAACTGTGTAATATGCTTAATTGTCCATTTCTAATCCACACTCAAGTGTCTCAAGTAAAAACACTGCAGGTTTACCAGCTTCTTACCTGGGGAGCAGGAAAAGTGTATCAGGAAAACACAGTATATGTTTAGGAAACTGGAGCCTATCAATTTGTTTGGTGACCTTGGAAAAACCACTTTACACAGATTAACTCTAAATTTTTTGAAATAAAATCTTTATTGTGTTTCTTCCTGCTCCAAGTTTTTATGAATTCTTGTAGTGTCACCAGCCAGTTGAGGCAATTTATGTAATGTCTTTAAGTCACAGATTTCTCTCATCTATACAACAGTCTGTAGCAAATGAGTTTAAGTGATTCTCTAGTCCTTTCAAGAATGTGTGAAAAATATGGTTAAAAAATAATTTTTACTCTTCTCCAACAGCCTGTATTTCAGTTTTGCTATATTAGGTAATGTGGGAAAAGGAAACATGGAAAAAATTAAAAAAAAAAGAAGGAAAAAAAGAGTTATTACTGGGAGTTAAGGAGATGAACTGTAAAAATAAAGATGTGACCCGAGATGCAGTGAAAAGCTCATGTAATTGGGATGGTTTAAGTGTAGAATAGCAATTTATTGCAGGCAAAGGATCCAGGAATTCAGGGCTGAAGGAGGAAAAGGAAAGAAACACTGGGATAACTGTTAAAACACGCTCAGGGTGCTGGCGCTGTGGTGCAGCAGGTTAACGCTCGGCCTGAAGCGCCAGCATCCCATAAGAGCGCTGGTTGGTGTCCCAGTTGCTCCACTTCCGATCCAGCTCTCTACTATGGCCTGGGAAAGCAGCAGAAGATGGCCCAATTCCTTGGGCCCTTGCACTCCCATTGGAGACCTGGAGGAAGCTCCTGGCAGCTGGGGAATGAACCAGCAGATGGAAGACCTCTCTCCTCTCTCTGCCTCTCCAGTCTCTGTGTAACTCTTTCAAATAAATAAACAAATCTTAAAAAAAAAAAAAAACTTAGTAATTTAGAATCAAGATAAAAAATTCCCTGTTTTCCCCTCTTCTACAACATGACTTTACCCCCTTGGTTTCTCTGCCTAAATTTTTACTCTTTCTTGGGGTGGAAGCCCTAGAAAATTTATTACCCAAACAGGGTAGGGCTTAGTGTAATAAATTAATGTCTACACAAGCTTTAAGGCTACTAAAATAGGAGGCAAATAAAACCTAACTTAAAGAAAACCCCCTGTGAATACATACTACGAATTTCTTTCCCGATGAAAACTTTAATCAATAAAGGCTGTTACAAAGTCACACCATCCTTTAGTGGTACTTGCAGGATAAGACTATGATGGAACTAAATACTATCATCTTAAATTGCCTTAAGTTGAAATTGAAGAGAAAAGAGTATTTTATTTACAATCTGTTCACAATGATAAACAGATATTTACTGATCAACTAATACTATTCCGTGAATCTTTGTAACCTTAAAAACAATTAGAGGGCCAGAGCTGTGGCACAGTGGGTAAAGCCACTGCCTGCGGTGCAGGCATCCCATACGGGCACCTGTCTGAGTGCTGGCTGCTCCACTTCCAATCCAGCTCTCTGTTATGGTCTGGGAAAGTGGCTGAAGATGGTCCAAGTGCTTGCGCCACTTCACCCGCATGGGAGACCCAGAAGAAACCCCTGGCTTCTAGCTTCAGATCAGCCCAGCTCCAGCCATTGTGGCCATTCGGGAAGTGAACCAGCAGATAGAAGCTCTCTCTGCCTCTCCCTCTCTGTAACTCTGCTTTTCAAATAAGAAATAAATCTTCAGAAAAAAATATGAATATGAAAAAATTTACACTTCTAAGTATGAAATAAAGGTGACACTTCCAAACATATAGTCTTTAAACTAAAGACCTGAAATACTCTTTTAAGACTTAGAAGATTCTGTCACACTGTACGGTGAGGCTCAGGCATCCTTTAGGACCTGCTACCAACCACTCCATTCCACACTCCCATACTTCCACACCTTCCTCCTCTGTGAATTCAGAGTTTTCATGCTTAAACCTTTTTTTTATATAATTATTTATTTATTTTTTTATTTTTGACAGGCAGAGTGGACAGTGAGAGAGAGAGAGACAGAGAGAAATGTCTTCCTTTTGCCATTGGTTCACTCTCCAATGGCTGCCGCGGCCGGCGCGCTGCAGCCAGCACATCGCGCTGATGCAAAGCCAGGAGCCAGGTGCTTCTCCTGGTCTCCCATGCGGGTGCAGGGCCCAAGCACTTGGGCCATCCTCCACTGCACTGCCGGGCCACAGCAGACAGCTGGCCTGGAAGAGGGGCAACTGGGACAGAACCCGGTGCCCCGACCAGGACTAGAACCCGGGGTGCCGGCGCCGCAAGGCGGAGGATTAGCCTAT